AAAATAATTTTAATGATGCAGTTGTTTTCTTGAGAAAATAATCTACATATGTTACACCTTTGTTTTTGGCAGCACGGTGGTGCAGCGGTTAGAACTTGTGTTTCACAGCAAGAAGGTCCTGGGTTTGAGTCCACCCTCCAGGCCTTTCTGTGAGTAGTAGTAATCTTTATTTATATACCGCCTTTTCACTGCACATCGGAGTCTCAAAGCGGTTTACAATTGTGATTTTTGGGAGTGGGGGGGCCAGTACAGGAGGCACATGCCAGACCTATTGTACATATTTTTAGTGGTAGGGGAAACCTACGCAGACACGGGGAGAACATGCAAACTCCACTCAGAAAGGCCCTGGTCCAACCGGGATTCGAACCCAGGACCTTCTTGCTGAGAGGCGAGAGTGCTATCCACTCAGCCACCGTGAGGAGTTTCCCCGTGTTTGTGTAAGTTTCCTCTGGGTGCTCCGGTTTCCCCTACCACTAAAAACATGTACAATAGGTATGAATGTAATGAGTGAGTGAATGGATGGTGTTGGGTGAGGGCTTTGATGCACCTGTCTCACTTCTGTCATCTCTGTGTGTCAAGAGAGTGGAGAAATATCTGAACTCATGAAGCGCTTTGGGTGACCACGGTCTGTAAAATTCGGGATATAAATAAACATGACTTACTCACATAGTACCTCTTACCATCAATGCTTAATCATAAGTCCGCAGACCGCATATTTATCACCCTTGCTTGTAAAGCCATTAATCAGCCTTAATCAAGGGCCGTAGAATTCCCTTCAAATAATGCAAACTGTTACATTCCATTGGTAGGCAAATCAACCATCTATATATTTGTAAATATGGTGCAGACCAAACATACTTATATTTATCTTTAATGGAAACACTAAATCCATCTCAGTCTCCACACTTTGTATACATTACTTGAACTTATCTAAGGACATTAGTTATTCTAATTTGTGTCATTATTCTTTATTTAAAATGAAAACATGTAAAAAAAAAAAAATACATTTATATATGTTCCAGTTGTTTCCTTTTTTTATGAACTAATGGTTTCCTGAACCATTTGGTAGATCACCTTTTGAGTCACTATGACTACTTTAAGCTTGGAACTAAAACCGACCGCTTTGGGGCATTTTAGCATTAGGCACTTTTTATCATCAACCACTTTTAACATCAGTTTTCCCAACTTAAACAAAACAAAATTACATTGCTTTCTTCTAGGAGTGAATGTTAAAGGGTAGAATACCATGGTATAGCATGCCATAGAATCCTGGTATTACCATCAATGTTGTAAGTTACTGTAATATAAGATCATTGAAAATAATTTCAGGGCCCGCTAAAAATGGTCTTGCGGGCCGGATTTGGCCCATGGGCCTGAGTTTGACACCCTGCCATAGACTCTCCATGTTAGAAGACCATTATATCGTACACTACCCCTCCATCCATGAAAAGATTTTGTATTAAAATAGACATGACTCAGAAGTGAATCATTCAGGATCATGTGTTATATTCTTGAATCCTTTGAGTATATACCTGAAAGTATTTGTGTGATCAGTGCACAGTGGGGCAGGGACATGGGCAAGTCTTCAGCCCAGTCTGAACTAAATCAACAGTTCGTTTTTTTACAAAAGCTCAAGCACAGCGTGAAATGAAGGCAGACAAAATCCTTCCTCTTCCTGCCCCAGCAAAAAAAATGGGGAAACGTACGGAGGGGGTCGCGCTTGGGCAGGACCTGGGGACAGACACAATCTCTGGGCATGATTAGATGACACCCGGGAAACCAGCGTCTGTAGTGACGGGACGGGGGCCAGTGAGGCGGGGGGCTGTCCAGGAAACTCCCACTGGAGGCGTCCCCCCTTTTGGTGCGCCTATATGCACACAATACCGTCAATGAACTGCACTTTCCCACGTTTTTTCCCCGAGTCTCTTTTACTACGCGATCTCACGAGGAAAACAACCCGAAAAACAGAGACGCAAACGAGCGTCTAGAGAAGCGACGCATCCACGTAAGCGACGCACGGAACGTGATTGGGTTTGTTTGATCCTTTTCCAGGGACAGAGAGAAGTCACTTGGATACTTTTGTTTTTTATTCGGATAACTTTTAAGGTAAGATCTACAAAGAATTTGTTAATGCACAATTAACGAATGCGGATGAGAGCTCGTTCTGATTTTCACGTACTGAGAAATGTTATTACGCTTTTGAAATTTGCCAGCGCGACTTTGCGTCTTGGTTCAAAGTAATAAATCTCTCTACAGCTGAGTGCTGCTGAGTCTGGATTTTTTTCTTTCCCGATGCTGAAATATGTTTTGAGAGCAGTGGTGACTCATATATTCCCACATTACACAGTGACTTTCCTTAATCCTCAAACACAATGAGGCTTTTTTGGCATTTAAATACTCTCAAAGAAGATGTTGGGCCTTCACACATTTCCTTGATCTGCATATCTCCCATCATGCGTCCATTGCTTGTACTTGCCTTCACATGTATAGTGTAGCACAACAGGACACCTCTTCCTGTGTTGTGTGTTGGGCTCCTGTAGACTGCCATGGCATGGACAACACTGCTGCGAATACTCGAGAATAAATAATTGAAATTGAAATTGTCAGTGCAATAATGTTGAAGTGATGGCCCCAAGCTGTTGGTAAAGTTGGAGAAAAGTTGGGCAGAATATTCAGATCAAATTGTACAGGTCTGTGTGTTCACTAGGACATCCATACTTCTGAAACTGTTATTAACCCACAAAGCAGTCGTTTTGACGGGTCCCATTCAAATAAATTGAATTCTGAAAAAAATCCCCCCCTCCAAAAAAAAGGTATTCGATTTTTCACTGGCTGTATTAAATTCAAGTAATTCAAAAAGGTGTTACCTTTAATGCTAAAATTGGTTAATAGTAATGAAATACATCAACCAAATAAACGTGTTGCTATGGTAACTAGAACTTGCTCCAAGCTGAGATTGCTTTGAACCAGTCCATGACCAGTCTAGGGTCGAGATGATTTCATAAACATAATGACATAAAAATAAAATACATACTGATACAGAAAAAGTTACAAAGTTTTGAAGACCAAAAAACATACAGCGGAGTCTTCCAAAATGAAAAGCTGTCAAATTGATTGTTCTGGAAGTTTTAGTGTTAACTCCCATGTTAATTTCATATGTTATTGTGGGGAGGGAGGGTGTAACTGTTGTCAATAGATACAGACTCACTGGTATGTATCTTCTGCTATGCTTTATACAGTGTGTCTCTGTTTTCTAAAGGACAAAAGTCTCAGGACTCTGCTTCTGAATCATTTGTCATGTAGTAATTATGTCATCATAATCCAGGCATGCTGCTCTCTGATCACCATCGCACTCGGGACACCACCCTGACCGCACACATGCTTCTGCTTGTTTGAGGACTGCAGTTTGTCATCTATAGGTCGTCAGCTCCCACATCATAGGCGTGTGTTGCTATTTTACAGTATTTTCAGCTACATTCATAGATTATTAATATTACAGACCGGAATCACTTGACAAAAAAAGTGAATCTGAGTGATCAATGGCTTTTTAGCATGCCTGGCCTTTTACAGTGTAAGGCTTTAGAAATGAATCTTGCAGCCCTATTGTGAGCTTTTGTCAATCTTCCTTCAGCATTATTCTGTATTTGTATTTGTAGTATTTGTTATCCAGCATTTGCAGCTCAGGAGAATATTCAATTCAATTAAGTTTATTTTTGTGTAGCCCTAACAGTGAGATAAGAGTAGTTATCTCAAAGGACTTTACAAAGCTGTCGATTCGCCAACATTGATCAGTTCAAACACAAGAAATGCAATGATTAACAAAAACATTATGTATTGTATTTTTTTTTTTTTTTTGACACATAGAGCCATTGGTTCATAAATGTTAATAGATTTCCATAAATGTTGTTGAATGTCGAAAATGTGTCATTACCACTGTCCAGTCTATCTATTTAAATATGTTACTGTGATGGGAGACCTCTTTGAACACCAGGTGCCAAAGTGGTACAGCTGCAAAGTGTCAAACTGGGGTTGTGTTCTTAAGCAAGACACTTCACCCACATTGCCTAGTATAAGGCTGGTGTGCATGAATGATCGGTGGTGGTCGGAAGGGCAGACGGCTCAGATTAGTAGCCTTACTTCTGTCAGTCTGTCCCAGAGCAGCTGTGGCTAAAGCTTTTCACCATTGTGCATGGAGCGAATAACCATAACCCTTATGTCTTTGGTTGCCATGACAACACTATATAAGTACTACATACTGTAAGCAGTGAATTATTGTTTAAAACATTTCTATACTAAACCATGTTAGATCTGTATAGCAGTAGGCCCTGAATAATATGTACAAATAATTCCCAAAGCTTACACTAAAAGCTATTCTATTTGATTTATTTTCTCTGAGCAAATGGCAGTAATTGTGTGTATGTTTTGGCAGCTTGTGTTCCTCTGACCGTGTTTTCTTTGACACCCCCCAGATATTTAGTTTAGTTGCTGCAGGTGAACTTGGGGGGTAAAGTTGGTGTTGGCTGAGGAACCAAAGCAGGTTTTCTACACCTCTTAAGGAAACAGCTGCACAAGTGCGAGCAGTAAAACAACTGTTACTGATAACAGATTTACAATGGCTCCATAAACAAACTATAGATCTATGCATGTTTGTGATCGATAGTCCTGTGTAATGAATCCATACATTCATGAATAATGGTGTAAGTGTGTTTAATCTGGGGAGCAATTTCTTAATCAATTTCTAATAGTTTATCTAAAACAGAGGGATATTGTCCATCGTGGCATTGATGAACCTGGATTTTGATTATTGTTGAGCCTTATCTGTTAATTTGGCTGAATTCGTGGCATATAACGTATTACGTTTTAGGTAGAGTTTTGAGTTTCCATGAAATAAACCTCCTACAAAAAGTTATATGAGACTTTTAAATTGATAATGTTCTCTTATCTTCTTTTCTAAAGCCTATCGCCCCAGTCAAACGGATGTGTTAAAGCCTTTGGGCAAAATGCCTTCCCTCTGCTGGATCCTTCTGTTACTTCTGACCCACTGGCCTCAGCTCTGGGCCAGAGCCGCCCCCGAGGACCTGGACACAGGTAAACGCTTCATGATCGTCTAATGAGAGTCCTGCTTCTTAGCTTGTTGTTGAAATGCATGGTCCTGCAGCAGTTATTTCAGTATTACTACATGTGGCTGGTTGTTTTTCATGTCAGTGTTGTGGTTGACACTTTATTTAAAGAATTTAAAGGAGAAAATTGTCTCATTGAAGAACATTTTTTGGTTTGGCTGGTTATTTTTCCTGGTGTAACCAAGAGTTAGCTCACTGCTGGTTATATCCTGTGCAGACTGTCTGGCCTCTGTCGTGGCTGAGGGTAATCAACTCTGTTCAAACAGTCTTCACTTTCTGAAACAAACATCCACTCTCCCGATGCCTCCTTCGACCATTTACGTTTTTTATGTGTTTACTTCTAACAACTATTATTGCTTCAAGTCAATATATGGAGTGTTAATTCCCCTTATAGAACCTATAAGATTTGCTTTCAGAAGTGGGACTGCTGCGGTTGGGGTTATTTTTTCACTCGTACTATTACAGAGGGTTATACTTTGCTGTAAAACCCTGTCACTTCTCCCCAATTCTTGTAAAGTGTCTCTCAATCTCACCAGACACCAAAGTGCCTCTTGAGCACTGTGTAGTCTGGCGTAGTACATTTGATCTTCATTATTTTGTTTTGCCACAACACGTCTGAATGCCAGAGGATGTTGATGTAGTGCATCGCTATGTATCTAATGTATCTACTGCAGAATGACTGTGTGTTGTTTATTTACTGTTTAAAGATTGGGAAACTTAGGAAGACTTCATTAGTTATTATTTAACTGTGTTAAACTTCCTAAAGTAAAACATTATTTATTTCAGTGTATCCCACGAAATCATCTGAAGATGAAGATGAGGATGAGTCTTCTTCGGAGGAGAACAAATTGTCAAATGAATTTTCAACTAGCAATGAGAAGCTGCAGCGTAAGTTGAAGATGTTTAATTTTTTCATTTGAAAACAAAGAAAAAAAGTTTAGCAAACAATGTATTTATAATGCACATGTTTCACTAGCTTTGGCGCCTCAATGGGTGATGCCCGAGAAGATGGAGAAGCAGCTTCATGCTGTTCCTGCCAGTCGGACGGTAAAGTTTCGATGCCAAGCCATTGGGAATCCTACTCCTTCTCTACGCTGGTACAGAAACGGGAAGGAGTTCAGAAAAGACCAGAGAATTGGGGGTTTTAAAGTAAGTTTCATAGATCACACTTTGGATAGGCCCAGTATATACATTTATAATGTGACCTATTCCTTTCCAGATTCGAGATCACTTGTGGACTTTAATAATGGAGTCCGTTGTCCCATCTGATAAAGGAAACTACACTTGTGTTGTAGAGAATGAACACGGCAGCCTCAAACACACATACCTCCTGGATGTAGTTGGTTAGTTGTGCTTTGTGTCATCACTAACCTACATCATTTCTAAATATATCTTGTCTAAAAGTATCTTAATCTTTTTCAGAGCGGTCCCCTCATAGACCCATCCTCCAGGCCGGTCTGCCAGCAAACCAAACAGCAGTGACTGGGAGCAATGTGGAGTTTGTTTGTCGGGTTTTCAGCGACCCGCAGCCGCACATCCAGTGGCTCAAACACATCATAGTGAACGGCAGCAGAGAGGGACCTGACGGACACCCGTATGTGCTGGTTCTCAAGGTACAAGTTGGAGAAAACAACATGTAACTTGCATCGCTGTGTGCTTCATTTGGTTCCTTTGTTCCTTTAAGACTGCGGGTTTAAACACCACTGATCGTGAAATGGAGGTCTTGACTTTGAAGAATGTAACTGTAGACGATTCTGGAGAGTACACTTGCCTCGCAGGAAACTCCATTGGCGTCTCACATCACTCTGCATGGCTCAATGTAGTCGATGGTACGTGGAGATTACCGAAAACATTATAGAATTGTTGCTTGTTTTTGCCCGAAGCCTCGAAGGTCTGCAAATGATTATGTGCTAATTTGTTCCATCTTTTCTTCTCCAGACCTACCTCCTTCGCCTGTGCCTTCTCAGACATACTTGGAAATCTTCATCTACTGCCTTGGGTTCTTTATTATCATCATGCTTATTGCCACAGCCATTATATGCAGAGTGTGCTGTGCTCCCAAAAACAGTGACTTCAAAAGCCAGTTAGCCGTGCAGAAGCTAGCTAAAAGCATTCCTCTGAGGAGACAGGTAACACATAGCATTGCATAGATGTTATTTTATTGGGGCTTTATTGTAAATATATCGCATTCTTGTCTCTACAGGTGTCTGTGGACTCAGCCTCTTTTCAGTCGGGAAAGTTTTTGCTTCGACATTCTCGCTTGTCCAGTGCAGGGACCAGTCTCCTGTCTGGAGTCCTGGAGTATGAACTGCCATATGATCCAGCCTGGGAGCTGCCCCGAAACAGGCAACGTTTTTAGTGAAGTCTGGGCATTCTACTGTCTTTAGCTGCACAAATATTCATGTTTCTTATCTTCGTTTAGACTTAGCCTGGGAAAGCCTTTAGGAGAAGGCTGTTTTGGGCAGGTTGTGCTAGCTGAAGCTGTCGGCATCGATAAAAACAAACCTACACGTGTTACAAAGGTGGCTGTAAAAATGCTCAAAGGTGATTGATTTTCATATTCGTCTCAGTCTAAAATACACCGCTTTTTATTGCGCTCAGTTTTCACACAAATTCTCTCTTTTTTTCTCTCAAGCCGATGCTACGGAAAAGGACTTGTCTGACCTGATCGCTGAAATGGAAATGATGAAGGTGATTGGTAAACACAAAAACATCATCAACTTGTTGGGAGCCTGCACTCAAGATGGTGGGTTAAACATTCAAAGTGCACATGTTTCTTTTGTATCTGAGAGATTGAACTTTAAATAATGTGCTTTTTAGGCCCATTATACGTACTGGTAGAGTATGCGGAGCAGGGGAACCTAAGGGAGTACTTGCGTGCTCTGCGGCCTGCCGGGCTGGAGTACTGGAGCGGCCCGAGACACACAAACTTAGGTAGTTTGGAGATCAGGGAGTTGGTATCTGCTGCCTACCAGGTGGCGAGAGGGATGGCATATCTCGCATCAAAAAAGGTGTGCTTGTAAAACCTTCACAATATGACCAATTATTGCATTATTATTATTATTGTATTGTCTATAATAATATATGTATCTGGACAGTGTATTCACAGAGATCTGGCTGCAAGAAATGTTCTCATCACAGAAGATAACGTGATGAAGATTGCTGACTTTGGTCTCGCCCGGGATATCCATCACATCGACTACTACAAAAAAACAACAAATGTAATTATTCTACAACCATTTACTATCTTCCCCTTTATCTGTTGCTGTGTCGCAGGGGCAACAGTGTCAGCAGTCTAAAAAAATCTGATGAGAAAGCTGTTGCTAATCTAAAAAATCTTTCATAGGGCCGTTTACCAGTGAAATGGATGGCACCAGAGGCTTTATTCGACCGTATTTACACCCATCAAAGTGACGTGTAAGTAAAAAAAATTGTCATTATCTGTGAATTTGCCTCTTTTCTCTGCATTCAATTTGCGTTTGTTGCCGTGCTCCTTCCTTCAGGTGGTCTTTTGGGGTCTTGCTGTGGGAAATCTTCACCCTCGGGGGGTCTCCCTATCCTGGAGTGCCAGTGGAGGAACTCTTTAAGCTGCTGAAGGAGGGTCATCGCATGGAAAAGCCCTCCGCATGTACCCAGGATATGTAAGTGTGTGCCCGTAACACCCAGCCCCCCAGATCTGCCTTCACGCATAACAATGGCATGACAACGTCTCTAAAGATAGCACTTGTAACTTTAGCATTTAGGCTCTAAATAACTGATATCCCGAGAAGTTTATTATCCTTTGTGCATCAGGCAGATTTAATATATTCGCAAAGCCACTAGTCGATCGCTCTAGTCTTCAAAGCAGCTGTTCGCTAAAAACAGTAGACAAGGCCCGTGTTAAATCTCTTTGCTGCTCTGCTAATCACCTATATTTAGCTGTAGATGTGAAATGACAAATGGCTACAGAAGAATAAACACAATTCCCGGAAGAAAAGTTAAGCACAGGCTATTACAAACTCTTGAAAGGGCTTTTTGTTGTTGTGTTTGATGCGCTCCGGTAGTGGTCAGATCTAGTCGGCGCATAATGCAACTATTTTACCACAGAATTTACCTCTAATGACAAAAAATATTATTGTTAAAATCTTTATGTTTGGTAACTGCTTAATTGGGGATTTAAATTAGTCTTTATTAATTAAAGTTAGACATACAGAAAAAGTAGTTTGAGTAAGCCAAGTTAATGATTTACAATGTACAGTATTTGATGGACCACTAAGCGTACGTGTTCTTTAAACCGCACATGCTAAGTTGAAAATGAAAGGCATAGAGGAGGATGTTCTTTATCCTGTTGTATCATGAAGACTATTGGTCCTCCGAATTGTCAATAATTCTGGTGTATATGGTATATACAATTGGCTTTACACATATTCTTTAAAAAATGTTTGTCGTAAATAAATGTTCACTTACCGGTGGCGAGTCTGACATAGTGAGCATGTGTGAGCGATGATGACAGTGACTTGTTAGCAGAGCGTGATGAGGAGAACTGGGCTCGTGCGTGTCTCTCGCACACGTTTTAGTCGGCGTTCCCTCTCGGGAGCAGGTAGAGCGTTGCGCATGTGCATTTTTTCAAAAAGTAGAGAGGGCGGTTCTTTCCTAAAATTTGGGAAAAGTACATTTTGTCCTCATATAAGACACACTTGGATATAAGCTGCAGGTTTTCATATTGTAATGTAACACATAACCAACAGCTGATGGAGCAAAACAAACCGATAAACGACTGTAACTGGTCACAACATGATTTACTAATAAGCTGTTTGCGTGCTTAATTTAACTGTTAGTCTACATGTCAGGACTCATTTACCTATTTGGACATTAAACTTGCGTCTTATAGCCATGGATCTATTATAATAACTGGATGGGGTATTACTAGCTTACAGCTGTCCCACCCATGGGCACAGGGGGCGCCCGTGGTACTGCAAACTAAAATCACGTGGGCTACCCAGAAAAAAGTCCCATAGAACTCAATGTAAATTAAAACCGCTCGACCTCAGCTGACAGAGAACCTACAGCTTTCAGAAATATCGGATTTTGTGGGGATTTTAGTATCCCTTGTCATCCTTAACTTTTTTCTTCTTAAATCCTTCGGTTTTCTTTAAATCCACGCTTTACTGCCTCAAACTGTTCCTTTCCTTCCCGCTCTGACTCCGCTCTGCTGCTGCTCTGATCAGCATCGCTGATTGGTCAGAGCGCGGCCGAGCCCCTCTGTGCGCGTGCATGAAAGCCACACACGCGTATTTGGCGCAACGCATCATTGGAGCTCGTCCACTGCTCAGAACCGGGAGGACCAGACGATGCCCAAATATGGGCGAGTTCTGCTACTCTCCCGGTCTCCGTGAAGTCCCATGCGCTACTGAGCACAAGCCATTCATTTGAATAGGGCGCCATCTTGGATCACCAGGGCTTGCTTATAGCTCATAAGACTGGATGGAGTTACAATAACCAGTCCTTACAGCAGCCCTAATTAGTTCCAGTCCCGTGCATTTGCTCATGTTCACATAAACATAAACAACAGCTAATGTGTCCAAATCCCTTCCTGCGACCTAGGAGATACTATTCAACAATAAAAAAACATTGGCCACATCGCTAGGGCCGCAGAGTTCAAAGAACTTGCAAAAATTAGTGGCTCATAGTCTGGCAATTACGATATTTTATTCACTGTAAATTAATCAATTCCACCATTTTTTTTTCTATTCTTGTCCAGTTCAGATATGTTGTAAAAGCAGGTTGGTTATAGTTTGAGTCCAGTGAAGGCAGAGATGGCACAGGACGTTGAAAGTTGTAAAAATCAGTTTAACTTATATGCTTAGAAATGTATCAAACATTCTGAGATGAATCAGTTGACAGTAATCTGCCTGGTCCTTAAATATCAATACTTATGAAATCTCCCTCTACCCAACAATAGTTCCTGTGTATCATTCGCTGCCTGCAGGACACCAGCTTTACTCCCTTTTGTATTTACTACAAACATTCTAGACAGATTTTGATTCACTTGCCCTTTGCACTTATCATGAGAGTGAATGAGTCAGAGGCCAAAAGTAAAGTACTTCAGCTTTATACTCTTTTAACAAGCCCTGAAACAAACTCAATTTGAATATGGGTAGATCTGAACAATAGTTTTTGGGAAAAATAAGCAATATCTGCAAGAGGTTAAATCATAAAAGGTTGTGGTTGTGTATGTAATAATTTTTCCTCTCATGCATGTCGTCAGGTATCAAACGATGAGGGACTGCTGGCACGCGGTCCCCTCGCACAGGCCAACTTTCCAACAGCTGGTGGACGACTTAGACCACATGCTCTCTCTCATGGCTGACCAGGTAGTTTGTTGTTCTGTTTACCGTCCTCAAAGAAACTATCTGAGAGTTGAATCCTGACCTCGCACTGTGATTTCTGCAGGAGTACTTGGATCTTTCGGCCCCCACAGTGCAGTACTCTCCAATCCGCGCGGACACATAATCGCTGGCCCTCTGCTCGTACTCCTCTTGAGGATCCTGGGACCATCTTCCGCTGAACTTGCTCTATCCCATTTCCGTGACGTCGCATTGGAACAGTCTCAGTGGAGGCTAGTACGCAGGAAGCAGAGAGGTGCTTCTCTGACGTCTGTACCCAATAAGCAGACTCAAGCAGCTGCAAAGGGCTCCAAAGTGACTGGAGGGCCCCCAAGACTTACCTGGTTGTAGTTTATACTTTTTATCTACTAAGTCAAAAGTTTCACCTGGACCATGTTTTCAGAGTTCCAGAATTTTTGACTCACATCCAGGTGTCTGTGGGGTTAAAATGTGTTGAGCTTGGTCTGACCCAGAGGGAAGAATTACTATTACAAGCTCCATGCTAGTTCTTTTTAATTGATTGTGACCATAGACTGTATATAGGAGACTGCTCTCATATCACCAGAACCTGTTGTCCTCACCCGGGGCTGATATGACACTTTTATTTTTTAAGGAAAATATTTGATTCAATTTTTTTAAAATCACAACAGCAGTTATCTCAGAGGACTTTACAAAATGCTCAAACCACCAACAATAGATTAGAGACTGAATGAATAAGAATACAGGAAAGGATAAGAATCACAAAGGAGCCATTGGTGCATGGGGTAGTGGGAGAACCAATGTCTGTATGTAATGTAATGTTAAAATAATGCAATACACCAATCAAAAGCTTCATCTTAAACTCTCTCCATGTTCCAACAAATTGCCAACATTGTCCAAGTTTGAAAGAAATGTTGGAGGTCCCTTGCTATGACTCGTGTATAAGCCGTGAGTTGCTGTGACAGGGGGCCCTGAAACTACATTTGCTTAGGGTCCCCTGAAGACGAGGGCCGGCCCTGAACCGGGGTTTTAGTGATGTGGACAACAGCTGTCTGAACTCCCCAGTGAGGCATCGAGAAGCAGCCCGCAAACCAACACATTCATAAAGAGCTGAAAAACGGAGTCAACAGTGTATACTTCCCACATTGTATATTTTGTAAATGATGTATAGACTATGACAGTGTACCAGTAACCAAAAAGGGGACAAATTATATCGAAGTACACAGTAAAATGTATCTAAATATGAATGTAAAATTGTAGCCAAAACATTAACTTGAATGTCTGTTTGTTTGTTTGTTTTATGAGCAGCTTCTGCGTGTTTACAACATATAATGTACATATATTTCAATTGATGATTTTGCAGCCATGTAATTGTGTCTGGTCATGGCAGCAACATTGCACTTACTTGACCGATGAATGCAGCAAGTCTGTCGTTAAAATGCTTTTAGTTGAATTGTTTTGTTTGTTATTTTAATATCAGTATTATTTCTATTAAATGTATGTTTAACTACATTTCTGTTACACAGTATCACGTGAACTTTGTATTCACTTTTCCTTCAGAAAGAGAACCTATTTCCCACATGTTTTGTGCACCAAGACATGGCTGACTTCTTTGTGTCATCTATCATGTGTCAGACAGTTATAAAGCCAGCCGTGAGACTCTTTAGGCTCTTTTCTGCCACATGCATTCATGTTGCACCGGTAACTGAACGTTGTGTTATGACAGAGCTCGAGTCCTTCACCCTCTGGCCACCACATACCTGGTGTGCAGAGGACTTATGTTACAAACCAAAACTAAATTCAACCATGCACAGATTGGACCCTTGAGGACAGCTCCTGGCCAATACTTTTTCTCATATTTTTTGTTCGTCTTGGATATATAATCTAAAAATATGCCATTGTTTAATCCTAATCACCACCTTCCAAAATATGCTTTCAGATAATGTGTCCGGGATACAGGAAAGAGAAAAAAGTGAGTTAATAATTACTGATACATATTAGTATTCCCTTGTGGATGTATAAAGTTGGTCAAAGTTGCGCTCTAACACCTGTATCTGGCCTCTTGCTCACGAGCTGCTGAAGTGAGAAAACAGCTTTTCTCAGACTCAGCCCAATGGGAGTTAATGGCCCATAGCACTGGAGGTGACGGGCCATTATAGGTCAGCCATTATCCCGGTGGACAGATGGTGACAGAGAGGTCCGGTGTGTCTCTCCACGCTCTCAAGATGGCTTTGGCAAATACAATGATGAGTAATTCGTGTTTTACAACATAACAGCCCTGCTTTTTCCGATAAAGAGAAGACAGAATACCAGCCGTCATGTTTGTTTAAAAGTAACGTATGTGTGTGTCTGCAGTTGTGTTGTAGAGACAATACACACTCACAGTCTGGTCACAGAGGTAATTTAAGTCTATATTTTTTTATTTTTCAAACATTAAGACACTTTAAGGGCTAGATCACTATAACATGCATAGATGTCACATGACATTACATCTGAGCCATAGAAGAGCTCCATGACCAGCACGGCAGCATCTTCTGAACTCGCCAAAATAAACTTTCTCTATACTCTCCAAACACAACATATCAGTGGGTAAATGCAGTCATCAGCAGCCTTATAAATTATAATAAATAAAACAATCTCAGCGTTTTTTAACTGAAGACACAAGTACCTTTGAGTGTACTGATGGTATATTCAACAGTTTTACAGTGAGTTAGAAAAAATTCAAATCCTAGTGTTTGGCTGCACAAACATGAGACATGAGTTTTCAAATACAGGAGGACGCTGAGTGAGAAGTTTAGTTCTGTTCTGGAGCCTCGCTGTCGTCCAAAGACCTCTTCCTGGCAAACAGGTGAGTGGGGTCTCGCCCTCTGAAGCCAGGCTGAATGTTGAACACAGGCATGTTCTTCCAGCTGGACGGGTCGTTGAAGGCAGCAGAGTTAGAGCCAGAGGGACAGGGCTTGGGCTGCACCAGCTGCAGGAAGGTCTCCATGTCTGGACCTAACCGGGACATGAGTCCAGCCCTCACAGTGTCCACTGTGGGTTCATCACATGCCTGGAGAGTCTGCAGCAGAACAGTGTAATACCTGTGCAGACATAAGCAACTTTGTGTCATGTTATTGTTGATAACTAGCAACCACCCAGGACACTCCACTCAACATTCATCACCACATATGGACATTGGTCATCTGCCCCGTATGGACCAATGGTTCTGTTGTCATGGTGTTGTTATCATTGCATTTCTTGTGTTAAACTGTTGATTCTCTGATCTGTGTTGGCGAATTCAAAGGTTTGTTCTCCAAGATAACTACTATTGTGAATTAGCGCTATACATGAAGAAAGTTAATTGAATTGAAAAACTATCAGTACATTTAACAGTACTTTTCCCTAAACAACTGGTTGAACTGAACTGGTCTATTTACAAAGCTCTAATCTTTTCCCTTTCTAAAAACTATATTTGTTAATGTGTTACTGCCATCTGCTGTGCAAACGTGGAGCCACTACTTTTCAAGCAATCATAAAGTACATTAGAAAAGGCCATGTTCTGTCCTTTTACCTGTTTGGGAAGTGAGCCGGCACCTGTACGACCTCTCCGATAGCCTCAGGATTTGTGCGAGCCACCGTGCATATGTCCAGAGTGTTGTAACACTCTTCCTGCACCTGTTATAACAACTCCATCAAGAAACAATCCCACAATCCAGTATCATATAAATATTTACACATACCTCTGCAATCATTCTTTGGAAGATGTTGCAGCGGCGAATGGTCTGGAAAACTTTGGAATTGATTCCTTGGATGATGCAGTGCAGGCTTTTCTTCACAAATGTCTTGCCCTGTAATGAGATCACACTCAGACACAGATCTCAAACACTGGGAGAACATGCAGCGGACTCCAGACCGACCTCTGTGTTGAAGGTAGCGGCTGTGTGGAGGAACAGCTCACATATTTCATGCATGCCGTCAGTGTCACAGGTGGAGTTTTCAAGACAGGAGAAAAACCCACACCCAACACCCACAGCGCCATTCAAACATCTGGCCACATCCGCTGAAAAAGAGACAAGTTCAGTTAGGCCTGTGAAATTATCAATTAGTGCTGAAACACATATGGATTTGTAAGATATAGACTACACAACAACAACCTATGAGGGAGTGTTTGTATAGAATCATGAAATGGTAATTGGAAACATTATTCAGGAATATTCCCCATGATGTTGGATTCATTTTCTAAGGGATATTTTGCCTGATGATAGGAAATTATATTCCTCATAAAATGATGAGGTATTTGGACTGTTGTTATATATATTGAAACACTGTTGAATGCGAAAAAGATCTAAAAAGGAAGCAGGAGTAAACAACAACACAAGGGAAAGTCAGGTTAGTGGTGAGACAAGCCCATTCACAGCAGTGACATGTTTCACTCTGGAGTAAAGGTGTTGATAAAAGTTGAACAAAAATCATGTTTTGGTTTTAAGGCCATTGATGGAGGCTCAATAATCACTACATATTTGTTCCATGTTGTCCCCACACTACTCAGGTCACATGCATTCATTCATGGGGGAATCACCAGCTTGTCTTAGCAACCACCATAGCAACACGTCTGCAAGCTAACCCCGTCGGAACAAATGCCCATAAATGGAACACGGCTCCAGCTATCTTTTGTTCAAATCGGCTTCTTCCGCATTCGGCAAACACTATGGGTGACGTCAGCACTCAGTCAGTCCACTCCTAATACACAGTCTATAGGTAACCTTCACAAATACAGATACCTGAGAAGAAACAAAAGCGCAGAATTGTGGAAATAGGGCGCACTCACTCGGGCTGTTGGAGGAGAAACGCGCTCTCCGGGGGGCAGCCTCCTCCGGCAGCAGTTCGAAGCCCGTGCAGACGCTCAAGACGCACAGGAGGATGACAGAACACGCCTGCATGTTGTCGGTGAGAACAGTCACAGTTGTCAAAGTTCGCTATATGCTCCTGTCCACTCCACCTCTGTCCTGCATTTATGTGAAGCCTCCTCAGCGCTGGCCAATCAGAGCGCGTCTCCCCACTAATGGTTTGTTCATGCTGTAATTAACCCACGCGACTAATTGTAAATCCCCACATACCAGACACGCTGGAATTTCCCATGAGACATAAGTGCACAGGTAGAATATAGCCCTTGGGAAAAAAAGTTTGTATACAAATGATACAAGGATGCTGGCAGTAAAAGAGGCAATTATACTCTTCTAATCTTATTGTCTTAAAATAGACCGAGTGGGAAACGGAAATGTTTACTATGCCAGTCACGTTTGAGATTTTCCTGCGCAGGAGCAGTGGAGGAGAACGGACTGATATCACACCGATCACAGAAAAGGCCTCGTGTGGAGCTGTGCATTCACACACTTTGTCCTTTATTCTTTTTTTTTTACTTTCAAATGATTTCCTACTCCCAGACTACATTTTACATTTATCATCAGCAATTTCCTCTCCTCTAACCACTACTTTTACACAAGAGGGTTGTAATTATTATTATTGAAAAGTTTGGATGTTATTATACTGTATGTTGAATATAATAATATTAATAATAAATAATTATACAGTACTAATATACAGTCTCTTGATGTCACATATTATGATTATTGTCATCTAGTCTTTTTTTCTACTCGATGAGTCGACTAACAATGAATGGATGAGTGAAATCTTTATTATTCCCACATACTGTCCTTATGGTGTTGTGTTTGTTTCCTTTCCTTTTTTTGAACAAAACCTATACAGTGTATCACATTACTCTTAAATAATGTAGTTAGACTAGTGTTACATAATTGGACACATTTCATTGTTAATTTTTACAATATTGAGTGAAAATAAGTGTGACACAGACCAAAGAGTGACATTTACACTGATTTCAACCAAATATTATTTCTAATAGAATTAAAGTCAACTCTATATGAGTCACATTTACATTTGTTTTACTGTGAATGGAAAAATTACAGTAGGCCAATGTTTTATTCGAGAATGTAATTCATTTTTAAGAAATTAGAAACACAACAGTGACTAAATAACGGTTGTATTTAGTCCCTTTATGTAATTATTATGGATTATAATATATATATGTATAAACAGATGTGTGATAAAGTATCTATCAGTGACAGGCTAATTCACCCTCGCTGTGTGAAGGAGAGGTTCCGTAGGTCCTTCCTTCCTGCTGCTGTCAGACTGTACAACGAGAATGTGTAACAGGAACTGCTGAGTCTGCACAAGTGTCACTGATAATTCACTAGTAACTTTATCACCAGTCACTTTACCTGTTATCAGTACTACTACAGTATTACATATCTGATATTTCTGTCTTTCACCAGTCACTTCACCTGTTGATATCTTACTGTATTATTCATATCCATCTGATAATTCTCCCATTCTCCCAGTCACTTTATCTGTTGATATTATTTCTGATGTTTATTCTGCTCATATTCATATTCTCTGCTGCTAATGTATAATATAGACATCTGTAAATACTTCCGAACCAAGTGAAATTATAGCCCAGAGTTTATCTCATTTTATTTTATTTTTATCTTTATTTTATTGTCTATTATCTTAAATAATAGACTCAATTTGATGTGTGCAATCTGAGTGCTCTTATTTCCTTTCTCTGCTGTAATGTGCGCAACGATGACACTGACATTTCTCCACTGTGAGACTAATAAAGGTTTATCTTATCTTATAAAAACTACAAAATATAAAATGTATCATTATCTTTATCTTTGTTAAATACCCTCAACAATTCTTCTGTGACAGACGGTATATAAATTAAATACTTACATAGAAGTGACATAGGTCAGGTAACCGACAACAATTATCAGTCTTTGATAACCATCAAATGTCAGATCAAACAAGTGTTCTTTCTGTTTACCTCCATCTTTAGGAACATAAACTTTTATATTTTTGTTTCTCTTCTTTTTTTGGTTGTGACAAATATTTACTCAATCTTGAAACAGCTTTCTCTATTTTCATTAGGAATAGCACATATACAAATACATGTAATGGACCTGATTGTGAGTTTAAGAATGCTGAGTAGAGCCTCGGAAAAATCAGTGTGTCTTATCTCAGTGTCGGGTGTCCTGTTTCCATCTTGGCTTTGTTTACGGCAGAAGCCCGGTGACCCGTGGAGGAGTCCGGTGCATTCATTAGTAACTGAGGTTAAATAGACACGGATAAACATCTTGCACGACTCATGTTTTACTTTAGAATTATATTTAAGTCACACAAAACACACAGTAAAATCATGATTTAAAACATTTGAAAACACACTCCAGTTATAGAACCAAAACCTGGAGAAATATGGCTGAGTCAGTCAAACAAGCCATAAAAGCTACAGCAAAGAACTTCCACTGTAATCGGACATACTTACGGTATGAACACATAACACCATCCCAGCAAGTCAATAAACGAGCCAAAAAGGAAAGTCAGGGCAGGAAACGGAAATGTCAGAAGGTTGTGGTATTGTCTCTATTGACTAAAAGAGTGAGATAAGCTTTAATGTGTAGTATGTCGGAAGTGGTTAGCAGGGAATATAACAGAAAGTGCACGTTTACAAAGACAACAGGAAGTGGAAAGCGTGAAAAAAAAACAGAAAAAGAAGGAAAACAATAGTTTATCCCGGAAGTGGCATTAGACTGCACAAGCATTAATTGAGGCATTTATTCCGCCTTACAAATATATATATTTTTACAGTATGTCTAAAGAATTGAAAGACAATTTAGTCCCGCAAAAGTTTTCTGTAGCAAAAGCATTGTTATAGGCAAAAGTAAGTGATATTTATTTATATAGCGCATTTTACAGACCAAGGTCACCCAAAGCCCTTTACAATGTTCAGAGTTCAGATATTGTTCCAATCATTCCACACACGGTGATGACGGAGGAGAGTCACTGAACACACTGGACCATCAGCCCCAATCAACACCTTCTCATTTACATTCATACCTATTGTGCATGTCTTTAGTGGTAGGGGAAACCAGAGCACCCGGAGGAAACCTACGCAGACATGGGGAGAACATGCAAACTCCACTCAGAAAGGCCCTGTTCCGACCGGGATTCGAACCCAGGACCTTCTTGCTGAGAAGCGAGAGTGCTATCCACTCAGCCACCGTGCCGGTCAAACCAAATATATAGATGTATAATATGTTAAGAATCGCAATAATATTGAATTGGGGCCCAAATATCGCAATACTATCGAATCGGCACATTGTTTTTGCAAATTCCCACCCCTACTTCCCTGCGCTCTTAAATGCTTCTGCTGCCCATGTCTCAGTAGGATCCAGTTTACATCCAGAGTGACCGGAGTGGAAACGGTTCGATCCAGTTCTTCCAACCGGGACTGGCTTTTCAAACCTCCATCGGAAAGCACAGGTCTCAATGCTTCTTGTTCAATCATATTCAATTGTAGTGGGATCAGGTTTTCAGTGCTTTGTAAACTCAGAGTGAAGGGAGCTGGGTAAAAACATAAATAATATTACCAAGAACTGGGAGAAGTTCTTGGTAATATTATTTATGTCCAATTCTACATCAAAACTCAAGGTCCCAGCCTGAGTCTTCCTCTGGGGTCTCTTCAGTGTCCTCTGGGAAAAAGTCAAAGTTGCTGTTGTCGAGCGGCCCCTCCACCTGCGGGAAAAAAAACAAGACAGTTAGAGCTGTCCCCAGGCCCGCGGGGCCCTCATCGCACACAAGGATACTCACTGAAGGCGTAAACGGAGCGTCTATTGTGCCCTGACGCAGGCCTTCCCAGTTGAAGCCTTCGAACCATCTGAAGGACAGAACAGTGTTGTCATGGCAGCGGCGGGAGCAGAGATCACACACGTTGAAAAGCTTACTTATGTTTCTGAATGTCTTTGATGCCGTTCTTCTGATTGCCCAGTCTCTCTGACGGGTTATCTCTGCGAAAACACACATGGTTAGTTTACCTCAGATATATTTTTAGCATCCGATTGAAAAGCTTTGCTACTGTGATGGTTTAAAGGATTTGACATCAGGATTTAGTTATTGATTTCAGTAGTTTTGAACTCTTTTTAAAACAGTAAAGTATTCTAGGTCTCATAAATAAATAAAATAAATAGGTACAGTTTATCATAGTTTGAAGATTTTATGACACTTTGAAGCTTTTAACTTTAAACTCATCATTCTAACATTCTAGCACAAGGCAGTACTTTTCCACTACATGTTTTGGTTATCTAACGGTTGAAGCTGCCAGCGCTGTGGCAAATGCTGATGGGAGATCCATCCTATAATATCACTTGTATTCTGTAACATCTTTGTTCGTGCTCGTCTACCATCGGACAATAAAACATGTCTTCTGTCTGAATAAAAGACACGATCTCAGACGATTGTCATTTTCTTCAATAGTAAATCTGAACTTAATGGCAGTTTCCAAAGTATTCACATTCTGCCATAGACATGCAAATACATCAAAGCAAATAGTAAGCCTGGGTGCCATTGACGCCAATTGCGGTTTTCACTATTTTATATATGCATATGTATGGGGATTAGCTTTAGAGCATATTTTATCGAGCCAGCAGGTGGCACCAGCGCTGCCTCTGGATGTTTTGAAAACAGGATGCACTCGTTGCGCCTCTTTTTCGCTTTTTGTCTGAGGCTGGTGATTTCAGTAAAACTTCCCTCTACTTGACTGGGGATTACAGGGGAACAAAACAAGCTTGAAACAAAAAAAAATTCCGATGAAAGTAGACATTGCATTCTTTCAGAATCTGGTTTCGGATTTCAGATAGTCATAGTACACAATTTTCAATAAATCAATAAAAATCATCAGAAACTGCTAGAAATATGGGAGTACCTGTTCTGAAATGGGCTGGCACGCTATTCACATGTAACTATGTAAAAGTAGGCACGAGCCCCATTCATTTAACGAGTACAGTACATTCAAAAGTCCACAGTAGCTAAACAAGGCGGGTCCAAAAAAAAAAAACTCCCTTCAGCATTGACACGCATCTGGAACATGGTTGTGAAGTCGTTTTCGAGAGGAAAAAAGGCCTCATACAAGTTCATTGGATAATTCTGTTTCCGGGTCACACCACCGGCAAGGAGTCAGATTATTTGTTGTTTGAAAAATGTGTTAAAAATGGAGCGATTTGAAGTGGATTTTGAAATACAGTGGTCCCTTGTTTATCGCGGGGGTCACACTCACCTGCATAACCGTTTGATGAGAATAGCGGCACTCTTGGTGATTTTTTTGGGGAACGCAATCATGTCGATGCCTCTGAGGATGATGTTATAGGTTTTCATTGGGTCAGAGCCTGAAAAGGGAGGGCTGATAAAACATAGGAATCATCAGTAACAGTGAGTGATACAAGTTTAAACACTACATCATACAATCAATAGTTTTGCTTTAATACATATGTGACCACGGTTGTCCTTACTTTATTTCTGAAATGGTCTCTCATCACTTTATAGGTTTTTATTCTTGTTTCTCTTGTTAAATATGCTACACACAGACTTTTTTTGCAAATCTGTGTAAATTTCTCCATTGTGAGATCAATAAAGTTTATCTTATCATATCTTACCTTTTGAGCAACTGTGGAGAAACTATTGGAGAACTGAGACCTGCATTACTACAGTCTGATAATCAGGGGTGTCAAACCTGCAGCCACACCGGCTCTTTCTGGAACCTGGATAATGACTGCAGTTTTCTGGTAGAATAAAAGTGTATGTATTTTAACCTCAAGTAAGCAATATGTGCATACCTTCCACTGAGCAGCTCGAAGATGAGGATCCCTAAAGACCAGCAGTCGGCCGAATTGTCATGACCTTTGTTCAGTATGATCTCCGGTGCAACATACTCCGGAGTTCCACAGAATGTCCATGTCTTTTTTCCTAAACCTACTTTCTTTGCAAAACCAAAGTCAACCTAATAGAAGCACAGTTGAATTAAGAACACACACATATGCTGGTGGTGATAGACAAGCTGCTCTCACAAGTTTGGCATATCCCCTGTGGTCCAGGATGATGTTTTCTGGCTTCAGGTCTCTGTAGATGATGCCTCTAGAGTGAAGAAAGGCCAGCGCCTCAATAACACATCCTGTGTAGAAGCGAGTGGTGCCATCGTCAAACAAACCCCTGTGATGACGGCAAATACCAGACTTAATGATGCTGTCGGTGCTGTCCATAACAAAAGTCACAGTGAGATGACTTACCGTTCTCTGAGCAGAGTCCACAGCTCTCCCCCCAGACACACTTCCAACAGCATGTACAGATATTTGGTGTCTCTGAATGTTCGATACAGCCTGAGGGCACAAGCAGGAGTGACAGATCCTCTCCACTCATTTAAACAAAGAAATAATCAATCAATCTCTTGGAGGGAAACACTATGTGACTTTTCAGCTTGATTCCTGACCTCCAGACCTTATGTTTTAGAACAGCCATTCCCAAACTCAGTAACACCGAGGCCCCCTTAAAAATCTGACGGGTCTGCATGGCCCCCCAAAATAATAACCAAGAAGACAACATTAAGAATAGGCTCTTCTGGTTATTTTCTTTTGGGGAAATAGCCTCTGCTACAAACATTGTAATACAAAAATGATTACAATGGATTATTCAAGTCAAATAATGAACACAAATATTTTAATATTACAAACAAAACATTACAAATGTAACATTAAATAATTATATTATTTTTTTTATTTTTTTTTGACCTCCCGCGGCCCCCCTGCAGGACCCCACTTTGGGAGACACTGTTTTAGAAAATTGCAATGTTTGTCTCCATGGAAACAACCAGGTTACAGGTTACAGGTTGGCTCTGTGGAGTGGTGACTATTCTTACTGTATAACGTCTGTGTCGCACGCACCTCTCTGGATTGTAGCCATGAGCTAATTTGCATCTGTTGTCCCACAGTCACACTCACTGAACTATTGTGCATGTTTTTAGTGGCAGGAGGAAACTGGAGTCGACACAGAGGAACATGCAACTCCACACAGAAAGGCCCTGTCTGGAGGTGGAATCAAACCCAAACCAAAAGTACCAACAGTTAAAAACCAAAGTTACATGGAGGGCTTTATGTGTGGTTAAGGGTGCGTTCAACAATACAAGTCCAATAGAACCGGGCCTAATTTGGCAAACAAACATGCCTCTCGCCTTTATTGGATTTATTCAGTGGTTTATGGATGTGAAACACGCCGACCACTGCCAGGACATGTGTTTGCAGTCTGAGGTGGAGGAGATGCCCAAACAAAGGGTTTTGTTGTTTTGTTCAATGTGGCTTCTCAACAGTGTTATCTTCTTCAGTATAATGGGTGTGAATGGGGACATGTTGACTGCTGTGACTGTCTGAGAGTCTATTCTTCTCTTATCGATCTCCTACAGATGTTTGTTTGGGTTCTGACCTCACGCACATGCTCACAGTGGTTTTGATCTGACTGCTAATTTGTTCATGTTTCATAATAGGATTTTGTGCGTTCATAATTGCACAAACCAACCGTGCTAACCAGGCAAACAAATTCTGGTTCCAATAAATGTGTATTGTGGATGCGCCTTAAGAATGTATGTACCAGCTACATGCCTGACCTTATAATGAACGGACTATGAGCCTCAATCATGATCCGACGCTCTGACAAGATGTGGCCCTGCTGACTGGTGTCCAGGATGTGCCTTTTCTTCAACACCTTCAGGGCAAACGATCGATTTGGGTCACTCTTTAACTGCACCTGCAAAAAACAAACATGTAATATTGCAGCCTTCTTGCATCATTGTTGGTTCCTTTTTCTCCTTTTACACACCAGCTCCACACGACTGAATCCTCCCATCCCCAGAGTACAGATGACATTAAAATCATTGAGTGAAACACTGGAGAAGAAGTCTGCCTCTGCCTGTAATCTACAGAAATCAAACAGTTTGTCATATAAGTAAAGGCCTTCAAACTTCATCTACTGCGTCCATGTAACGGTGACTCACTTGGCCTTGAGCTCATCACTGTCGTACTGTTTATTGTTGACACTATCCAGCCCTCCAATGAGCTGCTTGAAAGACCTTGGACACAAACACAGCAGTAAACAAACAATGAAAGGAGTGTCTCAACCACAGCATTACTATTCTACTGAATCTGGCTCACTCTCTGTCGATGACCAGACATGTGACATCTCCGATAGCTGTGACGCTGGCCGTGCGCACATCCTCACTGTAAAAAAGGATTTATATATGCTATAAAACGTAATCTGAAGATAAAATGATTGTTTAGAGATGGAGGATTGCATAAGTCACCCTTTCAATGCTTGCTCTCCAAACCATTCTCCTTTGGTCATATTCTTCTCCATCACCTGCTCCCCATTGGAATTCTGCTGGGTCACTTTTACCTGTGGAAAGTGGTGAATAAAAAAACAACTTAAAGTAACAAACAACATCCATATGCTGCTGCCCGAGTTCTGATTACTCAAAGCAGCTGGATTTCACTAAAGGAACTCGTAACCCAAACTAGAGACTCAATCTTCTCTCTGATTGGATAATCTGTGTAACATATACAGTGCTCATAATGTACATGAGTTTTTATTGTTGATACAGGAGGCCCTAAGGACAGTCGATGATCCAGGAGATTTATGAACATTTATGGTCAATTGTCTTCCCTACGGACCAATGACTATTTTCTTGTGTTCAAATGCGTTGGTTCTCAATAATGTTGTTTTTGGTGAATTAACCATTTCTGTGACATCCACCAACATTCAAGCTGCAAGATTCAAGAATTTATTTGCCATTTGCAGTGAAACCACATTGGAAAAACTGTGCAGACTACACCAGTGTGCACCAGGACAGAACACACCAGGGCTCTTGCCAAGATGACTGCTGCTGATTGGCCGATTTAAAAATAAATGGAATCCTTTTAAAAACAAATAATATACCAGCATTAACATTATATTTATAAAAGGCCAATCCTAATTTGTACAGGTTGACCTTGTGTCTGGGACACACACAAAACTGTGAAAATAATAATATAGATATATATATTTTTCTACACGTTTCTGTCTGGAAAGGCTGAACTAAAGATGTAAAACATGCAAAAACTTCCAAGAGCCAAACTCTTTTGAGCAATTTAGATGGATTTTATAACATAGTTCGCTTTGTGTGGTTTGAACATTAGCTCATCCAGCTTTAAGTACAGTATAAATGTAGATTTTTAAAACTTGAAGGTGCATGATGCAACTTTAAAAGAGTCTGTCCGCAAAGAAAACCTTCCAAATAGTTTGTCCAAAAGCATCCTAGACACCACTGATGGAAAGTGAAGGCGCCATGCTGACCACTCACTCAGCCACTAGGTCAGACAAGGTCAAATATGCACAAATATAAACTTTTTTCACATACAAGGTTGCGTAATACCCCTGTGACTGAAGCACATATACTTTTTCACTTTTATAATCTCGCCAGTGATTGCCTCTTCTTCCTTCATGCACCTACCTTTCCTTCACTGATGATGAAGAAAGTGTCTCCCGTTGCTCCCTGGCGGATAATGTAGTCACTGTCGTTGTAATGAGTCTGTGAAAGAGTAAACAGCGAAAAGGATTTCATTTCACACAAAGTAGTTGACGTGGTTAAAAGATGAAAGCACCTCCTCCAAGACATCGGCAAGTTTACTGAGAACGTCTTCAGGAAGAGTCTGAAATGATGGAACGCTGAGAGGAAAAAAAGAATCAAGTATATGAATGATGGAGAAAGCAAGGGCAGAACATTTGCTTTTGCAGAAGGACAGACCTGCGCAGGAAGTCCGTGTACTGGGAGTGTTTGATCAGTCCGGTCCGCATCATGATGGTCTGAAAGATCTGACGGTCAATGGCCCAAAGTGTGATATCAGTCAGGGCTGAAAGAAGATCAGATTGTACGTTTGTATTTCCCCAAGGCTTGGTCCTAGGTCCATTGTTGTTCTTGCCGTACACTTTTACTAAAACAAGTCTCTATTTATTGTAGATCTGACACTTGCTACTCTTTGGTTTGTGTATGGCAACATGATGTGTATATTTATGTTGCATACAGACTATAAGGAAATAATATTAGAACGAATAATCTATTTCACTCAACCTAACCGTCCTTGGCCACTAAGCTGATTGCTGTATACCAAAGATTTGTAAAGTTTAAAAGAAGTTTGAGGTTAACAATGAACACCTGACTGCGACAGGTGCGTAGGAAGGAAGGCATTTAGTGAAAGAAGCTCCTGCAAAGTTTTATTCACAAAAACAATGGGCCTCATTCACGAATAACTTCGTAAGAAACTTATCAAATTTCTTCTCAAGTTGTCCTTAAGTAGATTTCTAAGAAGTCCCTACGTGGGATTCATCAACGCACTCGTAAGCCGCTGAATTTTTCGCAGCTGTTCTCTTAGATTGATGAATCCCATTTCCTCGTAAGTAGAGCGCGCGTGCCAGGTGCTTCATTAGCATAGGTACTTAGCATAAGTAACCGCACATTAATGCCCATAAAAGGGACTGCAGGGCCGTGTGCAGACGGCAGAGGAAACAGCAACGGGCCTAAAGCAAAGAGTTACACGGAGCAAAAGAGTCACCCTTTTTTCTTCTTTTGCCAGACTGAGAATAAAGTTATAAAATGTTGACTTAAAAGTCGAAATATTATGAGAATAAAGTCGAACTATCAAAATTATGAGATTAATCTAAGAATATGATGAGATTAATCTCAAAATGTTATGAGCTTAATTTAAAAATATATTATGTATTATTTTAAAGATGAATCTCAAAATGTTTTGAGATTAATCTCAAAATATTTTGGACCCTGGGAGGAGATCCAGCGCGGACCAGCGCTGAGACTAATGCAGACCCGAGGAGAGACTGGAGTGACCAGCACACAGAAACCAGCGCGGACCTATAGGAGAGACCGCATAGACTGTAGTGACCTGACTGGAGAGACCGGTGCGCAGAGACCAGCGCGGACCGAAGAAAGACTGCATAGACCAGACTTGAGACTCCAGGAGCATGCAGCACGGACCCGTATGGAGAGACCAGTGCAGACCCGTCTAGCCATGGGAGAGACCAGTGTAGACCCGTCTAGATCCATGGGAGAGACCAGTGCAGACCCGTATAGATCCATGGGAGAGACCAGTGCAGACCCGTATAGATCCATGGGAGAGACCAGTGCAGACCCGTATAGATCCATGGGAGAGACCAGTGCAGGCCCGTATAGATCCATGGGAGAGACCAGTGCAGACCCGTATAGATCCATGGGAGAGACCAGTGCAGACCCGTATAGATCCATGGGAGAGACCAGTGCAGACCCGTATAGATCCATGGGAGAGACCAGTGCAGACCTGTCTAGATCCATGGGAGAGACCAGTGCAGACCCGTATAGATCCATGGGAGAGACCAGTGCAGACCCGTATATGGGAGAGACCAGTGCAGACCCGTATAGATCCATGGGAGAGACCAGCGCAGATACTCAGCGCGGACCCAGTAACCTCCTGCAGCAGCAGTATATATGCCGTTGTTCTGTGGCCCGTGGATAAAGAAATGCCCCCTATAAATAGGAAGGGGTCACTAATACACGGCAAGATTTCCAATGTATTTGATAAAGCGTTGGCCCATTTCATTTCAAAATGAATTAAAAAGTAGGCCAGATCTGCAGTGAAAAAGGCGGTATATAAATAAAGATTACTAATAAAGATTACTACAAATAAATAAATACATACATCGATATGACGGACATATCACTGGAATGTTGTATTTTTATTAAACTTCACCAAAGAGGACAACCCCGGCGTGTGAACATATCGGCACTGAATGCGTACGAGTGCTCCTGAGGACTCGTAGGATTTGTACTTGCCCAAGAGAAATTCTGGTTACGAGAAAAATTCGTGAATGCCACTTTCTTCGTAAAAACCTCGTAAGTAGGATTTACGTACAAATCTGTTCCTAAGAACCGTTCGTGAATAAGGCCCATTGTCTTGATCCCTCTGATCTAATATAAACCTGAAGAAGATTTTCATAAATGAAATCTCTTGTGAGCAACAGTAAGTATGTTTGAGTTTTAGCAAGGCTTCTAGAAGACAAGCCTAATCTATAACTATTTGTCCAGCCACCTGCTCACAATGACTCATCTCACGTTTGAAAACATGTCATTTTAAATGTGCTTTTTCATTGCAGTCAGACACAGTTTGTAAGTGTGAAACAGCTCTCTGCTTCAGAGGGGCAGCTCTAACTGATGGATAGGACTAATTCATGATGACGCTGTCTATACTGAACATGAGCCTGCCTAATGATTTGCATTGCAAAGTGTTACGGCTTTTTTGCCTCGTGCCACAACATCAGCTGAGCAGTTAGAGGCACCATCGTATGAGCTCAATAACTGTCAGGACTACTTTGTTAGAATAAAAAAATTATAATTACCAGATATTTCAGAATTATATTGTAGTTCTACATAAACAAACAACTGAACTCACACTCTGGATGAAAGATTGATTAATAACGTTTCTTTCCTGTGCAGATATGTTCTGTTCTCCTGTGATAAAGACTAATGGTATAAAGTGTGTGTGTGTGTGTGTGTGTGTGTGTGCGTGTGTGAGTGCGTGTGTGCGTGTGTGTGTGTGTGTGTGAGTGCGTGCGTGCGTGCGTGTGTGTGTGCGCGTGTGTGAGTGCGTGTGTGTGTGGCTGTACCGGTGACAGTAGCCGTTCGGGTGCAGTTGTACAGAATGGCCAGTTCACCAAACACTTTTTCTGGGCCAATTGTGCACAGTTTCTTCCCTTGCTTCATCACCTGAACTGTCCCTTCTGAAAGCACAAAACATTTTAACAGATTATATATTACACAAATCTCTCATTCATTACTCATTATACTGTAATAATGGATATAAAGGATAACAAAATAAGCTTTAGCTTCAGAGAGTTAGCTTTTATTTAAGGGTATTACAAGTTAATGGTTGAGAAATAAAAAAAAGGGAAAATTGGCTTCTCAGCTGCTCCATGGCCAGATGTCTGTTATGTCCTTCATCAGCCAAAGCACTATGAGCGGATGAAATGTCTAATGTTTGAAGTGTGTTTTAAATGACTGTTAATTCTCCAAATTAGATTCTGAAGTGCCTTAAAATCAAATAAAAGCTCTTTATATGTAGTTGCCAATCTGCCTCCTGAACAGGTCTCCCTCAGAAAATAGATTTTGTCACAACATCTGGATCCAGAACAGTGTTACCGATGAGGAGACAAATTCCATCACTGGTGCACCACAATAACAACCAATGGAATTTTTTTTTATTTTCAAGTCTTCAAGTCTTGTTATTCATTGGTAATAGGCAGAGTTTTTGTCTTTAAATATATATGACATACACAAGAAAGTAATCTTAGGGCCCATGATCCAATCAGGCACTTCACCGCTTTTGGTGTTTTTGTAATTTCCATCCATTCTACGCAGTGAAGACAGAAAACGTCAAACACTTGCACTTCAAAGCCTCCAACCATCTCCATCACTCACTCATGATATTTATACCTATTGTACATGATTTAGTGGAAGGGGAAACCGGAGCATCCGGAGAAAACCTACACAAAACATGCAAACTACACATCATATTTGATTATGAAAATGTTAGAAAAGTAGCAGCATGATTCTGTTTTAATGATTGTAATACACAGCGCAGACCAAGGCAAAGGTTTTTTATGTCAGAAAGAAGAATGTTATGCAATGGCCAAGACAATCACAAAACTTGAATTAAAACAAAAAATGTGAAGGATAAAATCCCTTTGAAAAATGAGAAACAGAACAACAATACAGTATTAAAACGCCAAATTAGAAACCTTGAAGCCCTCATAAAGTGTGAGAAACAAATGAAAACTCATGATTTGAAAATCTTTCAGCTGATTTGGAGAAAACTACTGTATGTTCCAAGAAAACCAGACCTACCTTCCAAAACATAGACAGTGGAGCCATCATCTCCTTCCTGGATGACACAGCAGCCACTGGCCACACTTGTGGGATACATACAGTCCATGATTGTGATGATCTGTGCTCAAAAAGCATTTGTTTTAGAGACTGTAACTTATATGGTTATGTGTGTGTAACATGCAGCGACCTACTTGTCCATGCTCCAGGTGTTTCATGAAGTCATTGTCCATCAGTGCTCTTTGGATCAAGTCCCTAGACCTGCAAACGTGCACAGTCACACATTAAACCAACGCCGCTCTCTGCTCTAACCACACGTTTTTTAAAAATCCTTGTTGAATAATAATATGAAGTCTGTTAAGAGATTTTTTTTTCTTCCATTTGCTATTTTTCCATGTCACTTATTTTTGTTGCTCATAAATCCACCATTTATGTTTACACATTATTATTATTGTTCCACAGCCATTTATGTTTCAGACTTGCCCTGAACGTTCTAATATTAATAATACAAATGAATGTATTGTCACACTTACTCCTTTGTCTTACAATAACTGGTTAGAGTTACATCTGACAGTTGGGATGGGTCCAGGCTTGTGGGCTCAGCAGATATAGCCTGTCTTTTTGAGCGCTGAGGCTCATCTGGACCAACAGGGGATGGCAGTGGTGTCCCTGCAAACACCATAAACCAGAGTGACTACCTCACATTTTTGCAAAAAGAGACAATGTGTGAATATTGGTGTGAAAATGAGTTAATTAGTGAGGTTTTAGCTTTTTATTGTGTGTAAGAAGGCATCCGAAACACAGGGGCGGGCCACCTCAACTGGCTCCTCTGGCGGCTCTCATCTCCCATTTACAACTACTCCTTAGAAGAATCTCATTTTGACCTTGATCTTGTCCTTTCAGTTACAACCGAAAGCTCATAGGTCAGGCTAGGAACGTATACTGACAAATTAATCAAGAGCTTTGTCTTTCATCTCCACTCAGCGACCACATCACTGCATAAGCTGCACCGATCAATCTGTCAATCTAATGCTTTATCCTTCTCCATCAATACAAGTATTATGTTATGTACAACAAAAAGATTATATTCCAAATTGATGACAGCTCTAATTTAGACTTTAGAGCCCAGCCACTCACTGCCTATATCTCATAGAACCTATATAGTTTTACCACATAGTACAAGACCTATAACTTTGTGGCTGCTTCATTACCGTGCATTTTGCTTATTCACACGTCACGCACAGTAATACTAATTCTATAATTCTATAATACATCAATATAATTCTATAATAGTCTCCTCATAATAAACCAATGTAAAACAGGCTATAGTCTTGCCTTTATAATCAGTGTGCGTGTGTATTCTCACTATACCAGAGTTGTTACTAGTTGGTTTCGACGTGACTATGCGATGTCTGTCCAGCTCTATCTGCAGCTGTCTGATCAGATCGTCCTTCGTGTCCAGCTCCAGCTCCAGCTCGTCTATCAGCGTGTCTCTCTGCCGCAGCTCCTCGATCTTCAGCTGAAGAGCGAGCTGCAAGTCCCGCAGTGTCCCCGCCATGGACACACCTGCACAAGTTACAGACCCCAGGATAGTTGTGCATCACAGCATCCCGCAAATGCTGTACGTAACACCCACACGTACTTATAGGAACGCATAACATTTAAAAACTACACAAAAGTAATGATCGTTAGTTAAAATAATGATTTCACCGATTCGTCTCACCAGAAGCGAGCGAGATCAGATGCTGGAGCCTGCGAGGTCCACTTCAGACAAATGTGACAACAGAAAAGTGGGCGCGCACAGCTGAGTCTGACAAGAGGACGATTCTCACTTGGTTAAAAAATCAATAATAAAGTCAAAAATTCCAAACATGGAGCCAAAGATACATCCTGTCGTGTCGTGTCCCCCGAATAGGATTTTGTGCTATGGAAATAATTGTCCACACAACATATTGTCAATAGTTCAATTCAATGAATTTTTGCATAGCCCAAAACAGCAGACGTCTTGAAGGACTTTAAAAAGTTGTCGATTCACCAACAACAACATATCAGAGAATCAAAAAGTTCAAAGGAAATGCAGAAAACACGCAAACAGGAGCCATTGGTCCATGGGGAGGGGGGTTACCAATGTGATAAATCTGAATATATTTGCATAAATGTCCCGGATCATCATATCTATGCAAAATTTCTAACATTTATGAACCTCAAAAAACAACAGTTTGTACATTTTGAAGCTGCAGTGGATTTTTGAAAAAGCGATGTCTTTCATGGTAAAATAAATAATGTGGGTTGCTGTTCTGTCTTGTTTTAGGGAAATTGTCATGTTTATGTGCTAAATAGTCGCAGAACTAGTTTGAGTGTAGAAACCAGTAGAACCACAGAGGACGTGTTTCAATATTTCCCAGAACGCAGTAGCAGCAGTCAGCCACACGGGGGAAGCATTGGCCCGCCTTGACCGTACTACTTCCGGTGCCGTCTATTTACTTCTGTAAAAGTCAAATGGCGACGAATGAGAAGCACGAGCCTTCTCTCAATCATGCGACAGGAAAACTAGAATTGTATCCTTGAATAATTGGAATTAAAAGTCTATTAGGTCCATCATGTGCTCTGTATGTAAATGTGTGTGTGTGTGTGTGTGTGTGTGTGTGTATGTAAGTGAGTGTGTGTTAATGTTTGTGTGTGTTTGGTGCATTTTTGCTTATCCTTGTCATATTATTATAGATATTATAGATGTGAGTGGGTGAGTGCGTGTATATATATATGTGTGTGTGTATGCATGTTTGTATGTATGTATTATGGAATTTGACCTGCATATTTACATCCATGGTAGTGGACATCTGTTACTGCTGAACACTATTATCTGAAGAACTGAACATATTTGTTCTACCCACATTTTTACTACACTATCTATAGTATGTGTGTGTTTGGAGAATTTGGCTTAAAACCCCTTGTACATGTTTACTATTCCAATGGTTTATTGTTTATAATTCTTGACAGCCTCTCAGCTCCCTGGATGTCCCCTTCCCATCAAGCCGTGAAGCTGTCATCGCTCTACGGTCTCTGTCCCCAGACAAGGAGCCCCGAAAAGGAGGCATCACCAAAGAGATCACTGTCGATGGCCAAATACTATCTGTGTGAGGAACTTATAGTAAATGTTTCTCTAGAACAGGCCGAGATGTCAGATTGCAATTACAGCTGGAGTAACTAACTCTTTTGTTTTATAAATACATTTTGTTTTTCCCGATAGAATGTCTTAAGTAACATTTTGTAAACAATTCAGACCACAGCTGTCTATTTCTTATTAGAAAACTTTAATTTTACATACATAGAGCTGATTGGCTGAGTGAAGGTTGTCCTCTTTTTTCACCGAAATGAGAGCTGATGTATATCATAGCTGATATAAAGATGTGAACGGCCAAAGGTACATGCACATTAAAACTAGTGATTGAACCAAACTGTTTTGAGAGCAACCAATTTTTTGTGGTTTCTACATTAGGTACTCCAGCTCTAAAGCCTTACACTTGAAACTATTGCAAAGTTTCTGTTTGCAGAATCAAAACATGATGAAGACTTTTTACGGTTTAAAAGATATTAGTTTATGGTATATGATGCTTGTGACATGTTAAATATTACTTCTGTCGAAATGACTATTTGAATTTCTGCTCACAAAAAATATCCAAATCTCATGTTTTCTTACTAATTGATAATTAAGGCATCGCAGAAGGGATGTTATCTGGCAACCGTGAAACTTGGATAAAACTCCTTCAATGTACGCAAAACACATTTATTTTAATTAAAAGATACTTTGATTTAGTGGAGTAGTAGATTTAAGCGTCGCTCAAAAAGTTAGAAATTATGCCTAAATTAATGAATCTCCCTCCTTTTTTACATCACAAACTATGGCTTCATCACTGTAATTATTATGTCAATTATTTATATTTAAAACAGGTGTGATTCCACCAGGAAAAGTCCAAAAGTAGAAAATGATAAAAACCTGTAATAGACACTGCTGACCTGGACTGTGCTGTTTTGCTTTCAGGAGGTGGAGTGCAGACGAAGCTCGTATCCTCCGTGTTTCTGTGAACTCCTTCATGGATCATCTGTCACTGGTTTTAGAGACTATGGAAATGTTCAGTCTTCCAGTTTCATAGCGCTGATTATTTATATTAATGTTACAAATATGGTCTCAAAGTGGTGTAAACTATGGATCGGCTTCTTTACTTTACTTGGCCTTGTATGAAGACAAACATTGACTTTTGCTATTTTCCTTTTGTTTTCTACTTTTGATAAATAAATATACATGACTAAATTGATCGCTCCAATGTTTATCCAGTTTTGTGGCAGCTCTCTTGAAAGTTGTTTGGTACTTTTCCCGAAAGTTTGAGGCAGATTTCGCAGTTCACCGGAGGACAGAGCGTCTCCACAAACTATAACACTCATTTTGCTGCTGAGTAGAAATTAATGGGCTGAACCTTCGTGATTGACATTATTTTTCTCTTGCTCTAGCTATTTATAAATTTGGGCCGGATTATGGATTAGCAGTCGGAAGACCTGGCCTCGTTCCAGTTGACTGTCAAAACATTTGAGTATTAAGCCTTAACTGCTACTTTTTTTTGCAACCATAGCAAATCCAGCAACTTTCAATATTTGCTTTATATACAACTTAAAAGTGGATTTTAAAGATACTTGAAGACAGACACTGAATATATGTACAAGTTACAAAAGAAAAAATGCAAACAAATGGACAGGAAAACATGATTCTGCAACAGCTTAGAAGTCGTCATCATCACATATATCGAGGTACACATCGAAGGCTTCTCTGTTGCAGTTGCCATCAGGGGTGAAGACATACTTGTGGAAGGTGCCATCCACACAAATAGCTGTAGGGAATGAGAGACAACTTATTTAGTTTGGTGTGTTTGGACGTCATCTATACAGTGTTTTTAAATAGTTCATACCTATAACAGAGTTGACATTTTTCGATGTGTTTTTCCCAAAGGCACAAATACAGGCACATTCAGCCGGCACAGTAAAGCTGGCCAACGACCACTGGCTGTCTACATACTGACCAATGACAGGGCCAACTTTTCCAACTCGTGCTAACCTATAAGAACAACATGTGATTGTGATTGTGAAACACTTCCAACACAAGTGACTTGACTTACGCAGATCGCCTGTTTAGTTTGGTGTCTTTAAGTGCAAAGATGTGCACTGTTCCTTTGTCGCTCGATGCACATAAGAATGAAGAGTCATGGCTAAAGTTGATGCTAAAAAGAAAAGCAGAAGCAGAATATTTTAAAAGCTTGCAGAATCATGCCATTATCATCCATGGTCATTATCTCCAGAAATAATGGTTACCAGTAGAGAGTAGCCGGGTCAGTTCCTCTGCGCAGCTCGACAAGTTTGTCTCTTGTGGTGGTGTCAAACAGTCGGATCAGCGTTCCTTTACGGGACGCTGATGCTGCAACGGTCCCTGCTTGATTCAGAGCAACACAAGCAATCTCACTTTGATGTGCGTTTATTGTGAAAGGAGCAGAAGATGTACCAGGCTTTGTGTTTGACAGATCCTGAAAGATATGCATATATAAAACAGCCAAAGTTTCACATCAGTCTCAGATACAATACTTTCAACTTACAACTAACTGTAGACTGCCACATTTATGTCCAGGGAAAACCAAGAGCTGTTTCTCTGAACTCGGACACAAGTCACACAAGCCTGAAACATATCATTATTGGTATGAGTATTGGTACACACTGTAGATAAGAATATTTTGTATTTTCTAACCTTTGGGATTATCTCTGGTGTCAAACTCAAATAGCTTAATTGGATTGTCCGGAAATGTGTACACATATATTCTGTTTTTCAGTATAATAATGATCCTGAAAAAGCACAACAAAGTTTTGAAAACATACAGTTAGATAGCTAAGTATTGTTAATAACACTGTTATCGATCATAACTTACTTGTCTTGTCTCATTCGAACAGCTAATACTGGTTTAGTAAAGGTAAACTCCAACACAAGCTTGTCTTTTGTGTCACGTGATTCTCTGGCATCATCCCAAATAAGAACTAAAAAGCACATGTTAAGAACTCAAAATGTCCATGTATGTGGTGTTTAAACAATATAAAATAAAACTACATTACCAGATATTTCTGAGAATTTTGGGCTGACTCCTCCTCCAACTAAAGCCAGTAAGTTGGAGCGATGAAGCATAGAGCATAAGGCGACACTGCCCACTTGTTCATGATCTAAAACACACACATTTCATTATTGACATTATTTTGGCCTGTAACTGTGAATACTAGCTCTTACCCAGATGACCCTTCTCCATTAAGGGTTCCACATTATAAATTCTTACTCCAGTCTCCATCGCACAACAAAAGCAACCTTAGCATTAGATAAAAACATAATCTAATCAGAATCACATCCCCAGTACAAACCAGACTAGTTTAATATCACAAATGTGAGATCTTACTCTGGTCCTGGTTGAACTGTAGGCTGTTTACTCCTCTCTGTTGAGACATGGCTGATAGACACAACCTCACGGACGAACTCGCATCCAGTCTATCAGAAAAATACGTTGTGAACGTAGCAATACATAGACAATAATACAAACAATGGCCACAACTGAAGTTACATTATTATAGTGAACAATAGCTAACGCTTAAGCTAGCCATAGCGAGTAAGCAATGATGGATCAACAACGAAACGACAGTGCAGTACTGTTACAATACGATCCTTGGTTGATTCTTAAAAGTTACTAGTTAAAACAATGCATACATACATAACAAAACCGAGGCAGATGTCGCAAGACCAAAGTTGTTTTTGTTTTCACCTCGATTACGGAAATGGCACGTGTTTCCGGTTGGACCCCGCTCCCTCCCACCGAAATAACAATAATTATTGTCATAATAACATTTTAGTGTAGTACATTTAAAATGCAAACTATGACCAATATGTAGCTTCAGAAATAGGTGGCTTAATTTATTATCATTATTTTTAATTTATTTGCCATTCACCAGTAGAGGGAGACAATCTTAGATTAGGAGACAATAGAGATAAATGGAAAAAAATTATAGACCAACATTATCGCTTTAAAACCACATAAGAAAATATTCATTAACATATGGTCAAAGGGTTATAAATTGCCAAGTGTGGTAATTTCTGTGTACTGGTATTTGCTTTTATATTAAGGAGATGTCAAATTATGACTTAAAATTTTATAAGGTTTCAGTTTTGGGTATAATAAAACGTTCATCCATCCATTTTCTACCCCTTAATCCATTTCTGGGTCAGGGGGGTGACAGTCAGAGATGCCACCCAAGTCACATAACACTCTGCAGATGATCTTCCAGCAGGGCTTCAGGCAAAGTGGGGTTAAGTGTCTTGCCCAACAACAGCAATCATCAGTTGGAGTTGGTGGAGAAAGTGTCAAGGTGGGATCGAACCCACGATCTTCAGGCCTAAAGGCTCTACCTAAAGGCTCATCTGAGCTACTGTACTGTCGCCCTGACACAATAAAACGTGTCACTGTTTTATTCTACCCACAACTGGATCAAAGGGACTGATTCAGACTGATTATTGAAAAGCTGTTATGTAGAATGTCCCATATTATTGAAAAGTAAAACACCAATTTATATAACAATATGCCCTTGATCACAGAAAAATAATGTGTCCAAAATTCCTAATGGTTTAATTGCTGGGGACATGCTGGTAGCACTCATGGACAAATCAAAATAAATTAGTCATAAAGTCTGTAAACAAGCAGATATAATACAAAGACACATTTTAGCCCTCTCACTAAATAAGTGCTGATGCTGTTATACCAAACAGAGTCCTCCCACTCTCTGCACTGTGGTCTGCAGCAGGAAGCTCCAGCCTGATGTAAGGACCATAGTGCACATATCTAACATCCACAGAAACTTTATTTTAGTAACTGCCCACATTGTGTAAATGGTGACTCCAGTACTGACAAAAATACGCACTAAATCTGTTGACTTTTGTAAAGCTTAACTTAACAATATAACACGATTTAAAGTGACAAAAGGATTTAAAGTGACAAAAATATTATTTACTATAACCCAATAAATGAGGTAAATGTTCAAATTGTGACAGGATATTTGTTTAATTCCACCAGTGACCAGAGGATGGCGTGTCTCTAAAAAAGGTCTGTTGATCTCTGTGCACTTCTAGATGATGATGCACCTGTGGTAGGAGCACATTAAGTTGGGAGCTGTAGTCTCTCCCGATGGCCCGGTGACGGGTCAGGTTGTCCTAATAAGACTGGAGCAGGTGGAACCGGTCAGAGAAGCTGCAGATGGTACCTCACTGCTGCCTTGTCTTAGTGGAAGAAAAACATGTCCTATGGAAGAAAAGGTATGACATGTCCAAAATCTTTGAGATTTCCCCACTGTGGGATGATAAAGTATCTCTTAATCTTGTTAGTGAAGTTCGATTCTACATTTCTTCAGCCATTTAAATAATAATATTAAATAAAACTTCAATAATCATTCACACTTTGAGCCTCCTAAGTCGTCTGCCTGTTACTGGTGAGTTGAATGGTCAAATCAATCAGCAATGTGGTTTTCCTCCAGGCCATGGAACTCTGAACCAGCTCCATTCCCTGAGACAGATTCTGTCCTGCCCTGGGAGTGTCCTTTGGGAGATTCTTCGATATATTATGGGTCCAATCAGGGCTCTTTTTTGGGGCTGTCCAGTCCCTGTATGGCTGTAGCAGGAATTGTGTTTGTATCATGGAGAACTGTTTCCAGAGCATTTTGGAGCACTTCACTTTTATGAAGTCAAAGATTTCCAAGTGGTGAACACAATTCTGTCTTCTATAGATGTTAGATATAATAACATTTATGGGAAAATGGCTCCAATTTGTTTGTTATTTTTGCATTTCTTTGTTCGAACTGTTTGATTCTCCAATCTGTTGTTTTGAAAATCAACAACTGTAGCCCTTGTTATGTCTTCAAACCAAACTCTTGTCCTTCTCAAAACCTGTTCAAAGTGTGTTCTACTTTGCTGTTTGATCCGCAAATATAATATAAACGGTGGATTAGAATAGGTCTTTAACCTGCTGAACACATCTGAGACCTAAACGTCACTGAAGTGAAGTGGCCCCTGAGCTGAGAGTGTCATCATCAGGTTCAGAGATGCAGACAAATGTGTGGATATGAAATCAATAATGATCAAAAATCATAATATGATATAGTTCTCATTTGACAATGATAAAAATGCTATGTTCCGTCTTCCCAGCGATCATCACCAATCACTTTCAACCACAGAACAGCGAGATGTGTGTCTTTTCCAAGAACACAGTGGTCCTGCCAACAGTTTTTACTCCATTGACCTGTTTTAGGACATTATGGGCGTTAGAAATTAATATTTAACATGGGTCCAAATGATTATCAGCCGTTATATCCAACATATCCAAAAACACACTCAGTATATGTCAGGACATCATGCTCTACACACGCACGCACGCACGCACGCATGCACACACACACACACACACACACACACACACACACACACACACACACACACACACACACACACACACACACACACACACACACACACACACACACACACAGGCTCTTGAGCCTCTGAAGAGCAAAAATAAACCTTGAAAACATGAGGGCTGAAAAAAGAAAAAGTGAGTTTCAACAACTCTCCGCGGCAGATGCCCTGTGCACTGACTCATGACTGTATAAAAATATACATTTATAATATAATGTGTAAGTGGATGGATTCAAAGACATTGCAGTCTTAGCAAAAGGAAATGCTATTGGCTAAAGGTGTGTGGGTGTGTTTACATGTCCCTTCACTCTCATCCTATTAGTCTGCACTGAGATCCGCTCTGACATTTAACCATGTCAGTGCAGAGCCTCCAGCACTATGGCTACTTTCTAATGGGATAACGTCCCTATTTGTTTTAACTCAATCACATTATTACACCCACACGTTCACAGCACACAACACATGCTTCTATCTCCAACAAATCCTTGAATCATTTCAACATCAATTTAATAAATTAAAAAACTGCTCAGCACTGCTCTGAAACAAATGATACCACTGAGAATTCTGTACATCCTGCTCCGAAGCTGCAGGATGAGGACCAGAGACTACAGGTAATTAGAGTGAATCAGATGCATGTGTTCCACCATCTCCCTCTTGTTACTTTTATTGACAAAACCTACTTCTAAATCTGGCTTCTCAGTAATGATTTCAACCAGAATTAGGAAGGAAAGCCAACAGCTGCACAATTCAATCTGCTCACGAGGTCCGCTCACTTGTGTTTTTGCCAACATACTTTTGCCAATACATTATTGACACATGCACCTGCACTTCAGAGCCGGCAAAAGTCTTAACAATACATTTATTTGAGATATTGCAAGCGTTGCCTTTGACACATTCAGCTTGTTATGCTGTTGTAGGAGTGTTTCATACTGATCAGGCAGACAATATGACAACCATCAAAACATGACGACGGCACATGGTTTTGGGTTCAATTCCACCCCCTGGCCCTTTTGTTTGGATTTGGCATGTTCTCCCTGCATTTCCCCCCATTTTACCCTCCCTGACCCCACTACCACCCTCTGTCTGTGGCCAGGACTGCCCTGAAAAAAAGATTCAGCAACCTCAGTCTGACTTTACTGGTGAAATAAAGTAATATAGTAATAGTTATATAGTAATAGTAATAGTTATATATATATATATATATATATATATATATATATATACTGTATAAAAAAAAAAAAAATGTCCACTCACCTTTGGCCCTCCGCGGGCGGTTATCCCTCTCTAAGCTCGGGTCCTCTACCAGAGGCCAGGGAGCTTGAGGGTTCTGCGCAGTATCTTTGCTGTTCCTAGCACTGCACATTTCTGGACCGAGATGTCCGAGGTTGTTCCGGGGTTTCGCTGTAACCACTCATCTAGCTTCGGGGTCACTGCCCCGAGTGCACCGATCACCACGGGCACTACTGTCACCTTTACCCTCCAGGCCCTCTCCAGCTCCTCTCTGAGACCTTGGTATTTCTCAAGCTTTTCATGTTCTTTTTTCCGGATGTTACCATCGCTTGGAATTGCCACGTCCACCACCACGGCTGTCCTCTGCCCTTTGTCTACCACCACGATGTCAGGTTGGTTTGCCATTACCATTCGGTCGGTCTGTATCTGGAAGTCCCACAGGATCTTCGCACGCTCATTCTCCACCACCTTTGGAGGAGTTTCCCACTTAGACCTTGGGGTTTCCAGCCCATACTCTCCACAGATGTTTCTGTACACTATGCCAGCCACTTGGTTATGGCGTTCCATGTAGGCCTTCCCTGCCAGCATCTTGCACCCTGCAGTTATGTGTTGGATCGTCTCAGGTGCCTCTTTGCACAACCGACACCTTGGGTCTTGTCTGGTGTGGTATATATCTGGGCCTCTATCGCTCTGGTGCTCAGTGCCTGTTCCTGTGCAGCCATGATGAGTGCCTCTGTGCTGTCCTGTAGGCCAGCCCTTTCTAGCCATTGGTAGGACTTCTTGAGATCAGCCACTTCTGTTATACTCCGGTGGTACATGCCGTGTAGGGGCTTGTTCTCCCATGATGGGCTCTCCTCCAGCACCTCCTCATCTCGCCACTGCCTAAGACATTCACTGAGTACGTCATCCGTTTTGGCCTTCTCCATGATGTAGTTATGGAGTTTGGATGTTTCGTCCTGGACAGTGGCTCTCACACTCACTAGTCCTCGGCCTCCTTCTTTACGGCTTACGTACAGTCTCAGGGTGCTGGATTTGGGATGGAACCCGCCATGCATGGTAAGGAGCTTTCGAGTTTTAACATCCGTGGTCTGAATCTCTTCCTTTGGCCACCTGATTATTCCTGCAGGGTATCTGATCACTGGCAGGGCGTAGCTGTTAATTGCCCGGGCCTTGTTCTTGCCATTGAGCCGGCTTCTTAGGATATATATATATATATATATATATATATATATATATATATATATATATATATATATATATATATATATATATATACAGTACATATATACAGTATGTGTGTGTGTGTGTGTGTGTGTATAGCGACCTCTGCATGTCACCACTCGAAACAGTGACCACATACAGTCCCATGGGTTGTGTGGAAACTGCTTACATGTTTAAACAACAGCACGCAGTGGGATGTTTAGAACCACAGCAAATAAATGTATTATAGGCCTTAAATGATTTATGTCACCTCTCTTTTCACGTGTGTATGAGTTCTCATGCACGTCTTATGCGAGTCTCATGTGAGAACATGTTAAGCTCAAACGTACTTTCATTGCACATGTTCCAATAGAAAATGACAGAATTAAATGTTAATGCACAAATCTGAAACATAACAAGTCCTAGTGTTGACTTTCAGCAAAAAAAGTTCAACACTAGGACTCCCAGAAACTACTGTAATTCCAGTGCCATAAAACCAATAGAATTCTGATATTTTCCATCAAAAATTTTTGTTTTTTCACCAGATTTGTTAGAAGTTTTTACCTTTACTTAAACTGATAAATTATTGATAAAAATAATGACATAGAAATAAAGTACATTTATATAGAACCAATACAAAGTTATGAAGACCACAAATGTACATGAGTAAAAACGAAAAGCCGACACGTCTGGGAGTTCTGGTGTTGATGGCATCACTGCTGCACAATATTATGGTCTTGGAATAAAAGTGACTGTTATGGATCTACCAGCAGTGTACAAAGTTATCTTTAAATCTGTCATTATATATCAGTTCAAGGTCTAGGGCACATATGATGTACACATGAACATATGATGTGAAGAGAAACACAACCATTTCATCTATTTAGAAATAACTTGTTGGCCAACAGGCTTGATGACATCTGCACGAACTGTTTGATGTCCCCTCAGAGGTTGAAAATATCAAACAGACAAAGCTGATTCTTGGAAAACATCTCTGACAGAAAGCAGCAAATGACATGATTCCATTATTCTGTGCTTTGTAAGTGCTCTCCCACCCACTCTGCTCAGGGAAACACAAGACCCAAGCTTTGCTGAAACCATGTCCTTTTTCAACCTCGAGAGTCCATTTTTAAATAGAAGCGCAGCACATGCCACTTGATTGAAGACTTCAGATTGTATATGTTATACAATCAAACCTGGTTCTATATTTGGATATTTATGTGGATCATAGTTATAACTTGAAATGATTTGTAACTCGTATAGATGAATGTTGTATGGGTTTCAGCTTCCTGCTGAATACTTTTACTTTATAATTTCCCATACTGTGAATGTAGTGTATGTGAATGTGATGTGTCTGTGCCTCGCAAAAGTACTTTTGCCCCTGGAAAAAAAAGAGATGATTTTTCTTTCATAGCTATATTTATTAACATTTATGGACATTGGTCATCCTGCTCCAAACTGTTTGATAAAATTGTTCTGTGTTTGAACTGTTTGATTCTCTGATCTGTTGTCGGCAAATTGACAACTTTATAAAGTTTGGATTGAGGATTATATGATAACAAATTTAATTGAAAATAAATAAAATTATTATCATCTATGAGTTTCAGAATGAAAACACTTTGGATACTGCTACAGTGATGAGATAAAGAAAAATATATATTTTTAGAAGAAAAAAAATGCAACACAGATGTTTGTCTCTGTCCACAACACGATGGTTGTCTCACAAAGTGTTATCAGGACACATGCTATTTCCAGTCGCTTGATATTATCACATGCAACATTTAAATGTTGTTTAATTATTGTTAAAATCTTTCATTCTTGGAAATGAAGTATAATAGTTTTAACAGCATGCTTGGTTTCAACATCTACAAGTTTCTGTTCATATCTTTAGTTAACATGCACAAGTATTAAAGTATTAAAGTCGTCAAAGTGCACTTCGTCCTTTTGTATTTCTGTGCTCCATCTGTTGGAATTCTCTCACTTCACACCTGATACATAAACTACTATGCAGAAAAAGATGTGCTACTGACAAATACAACTTTAAGATAAACATCCTCAATAAATAAAACAAATAAATCAACATTTGAACAGAATGAGGTAAAATTAAAGGAGAGGTCATCTCTCAGTGCGACAGGAATGATCAAAGCTGCTGCTGCAGATGTGCTTTGTTATTTTGCATACAACAAATAAATGAATGAATTAATCTTCCACACACAAACGGTAGGGGATTTCACTGAAGACACTGTAAAATGATTTGGGTCGCTTCTACAATACCATTAAGACAATATCCTGTTTGGGTTTTTCAATGTGTGTAATAAGTGTTGTTTTGTGTTCTGTCGTTAACTGCAGGACAAACAGGTGATCAGTGAGTGAAAATCCTATATTTTTTATAATAAACGCCAAAGTATCAAGATCAGTATAGGACACAAAAAAGCTGGATTGGTGCATCCATATTGGAGCTGTCACCAGGGTCACCCTAATGCACTGCTGCTGAGCACTTACTGAAGACCTCTTTGACTGTTTTATTGAATATTACATTTCCTCTAACCCTATATTTGTTTTGGGAGGCGACATTTCAAGCTGTCAACACATCATTGACATTTCAAACCTCGAACTGACAAGAAGAAGTACTCAGTCCATGAACTTTTGACTTTCTTAGACCCAATTTCCCCATGCAGCCTTTTGATTCTTCTGAGACATTTTGCCACACAACATGACACTTGCTGAGTTTTGTAGTCTTTAAGTGATTGAATACAGACCTGTATCCATGATCAAACATTTTTTTCTCCAGTCATTGAATACAAAATTACAAGCTTGTCTGAAATCACGTTAAGGAATATGGATTCCGTCACTTATCAAGTTTTAGAATTGTTCGTTATCATTGCCATGATAGAGTGCACAGGTCTCTTATGTACAGAAGTGGGCAGCAGCGAGAGTCTGATTAACACCCTGTTTCTTATAAGAACGTACCCTTCATATCTCTGCACACTATCTTCTTGAATGCTCTTCTAAAGTCCTTGTTAAAAATAGTGTAGATGACCGGGTTGAGGCAGGAGTTGCAATAACCAATCCAAAAGAAAAACTTGAAGAGCGGGTTCGGAATGGTGCATGTATCGGGGCATACAGCCATAAGAGAATAAGTAAAGAAAAATGGGAACCAGCAGATGACGAACACCCCCATGACCACCGCTAAGACAAACGTGAAGCGCTTCTCTCGGTTGACCATAGCTTTGCGCCGTGATGTTGGAGTCCCGTGGATGTTGGGACTCTCCTCCACAGACACTTTGCATCCCGCCTGAGAGGCCATGGTGTGTTTGTATCTACTTGCCAAGTTCATGGCTTGTACTTTTAAGCCTTTGGTTTTGCAATATACCACCTTTTGCTCTTTAGTCTTCATCGGTGCGGTCCCTTCTACGTCTTCTTCATCGTCAATACCTGTCACTTTGATTTGCAGCTCTGTCACAGAGCCAGAGCTGGACATGCTGTCCGCCTGGTCCTCCACGTTGTGTCTGCATGCAACAGCTGAGAGGATTTGGCTGTCATGTCTGGGTATTGAAGGAGAGGACAGAGATTTATGAATAGCAGCTTTACTGGAAATGAGATTTGGCTGTGTTTCCTGTTTTGCATTGTTTTCAACTAAGTTAGTCTGCAAAGACTGGGTGGAGTCGAATCTGGTAATCTTGCTTAAAACTTTTGATTGTTGGCTCACATTTACGTGCCCCTTTTCATTGCCTTCTGCGTCAGCTGCCCTCTGCTCGTGTTCATGAGCTACAACATTTTCTGCCATCGTCTTGTGGTTTTGAGCTGGTGGACCACGAGTATGTTTCTTGGCAATCTGGTAGATCCGAATATAGACAAGAATCATGATAACACAAGGAGCGAAAAAAGAACCAATTGTTGAGTAGAGGATATACCAGCGTTCATTGTTAAGTTCACACACTTCTTCTCCTCCGTCACTCTTGTCCAGCGTAAGCAACGGTGGGAATGATATTACAGCAGATATGAGCCAAACAATGACAATAGCTGCTTTAATTCGTTTAGGGGTGCGTTTGGTGCCATAGGATACTGGCCGAGAGATGGACAAGTAGCGGTCAAGTGCAATGGCACACAGGTGCACGATGGACGAAGTGCAGAAGAGAACATCCAACGCCAGGTAGATTTCACACCAAAGAGAAGAGAAGGCCCAGTGTCCCTGCAACTCATTGGCCAAAGAGAATGGGATGATGAGAGTCGCTACTAAAATATCAGCAGCGGCCAAAGACACCAAAAACAGGTTCTGAGCTCCTTTGAGGGACCGAGATGTGAGAACAGCAATTATGACTAAAATGTTGCCCACAATGGTCATAACCATCATAAAAGTGATAGAAATGGCAATGGCAGCAGTGGCTTGTGGTGAGTAGAGAAGGCTCTGCCGCGTGCTTTGGTTGCAGGGGCGGGTGCCAGAGACGGTGCTTATGTTCCTGGAGAAGAGTGCCCCGAGCTCAGAAAGGCAGGGTGTGTCAGGGGCAGTTGCCATAGTCACGGAGTCCAGTCTTCACAAGTTCTAAATAGGGTTTCTATGAAGATGCGTTTCCAGAACAATGTGCATCCAACACATTCTGGATCGAAAAGTTGAAATAAATCCAACGACAAAGTCACAAGAAGAAAGTCTGCAAGGAATGGAGACAAATGGCATTACAAGACATTGATTTAAATAATGTGGATGAACATTACCACAATTCACAATTATCCAACTTACTGTGTAATAAGAGTGCTGAAGTAGAAATGAACAAGTGTGCATTTCTCCACAGGTGGTTAAAGTGTTCATCATTTTTATCCATAAGTCAAGTGTCAAATGAATACATTTCATCTCAGTGTTTTTCTATGGAAGCAGATGCTATCATATAAAATACTCAAATCTTGCAGATGATAAAGAAAAGTTTCTCCTCACAAGATTGTAAATAAACAAAGCAAGAAAAAAGCAAAAAAGCACAAACAAACATTGTTTGCGTTAATCCACATCAGTGCCTCTTCTGAATTGTCATTCTCGGCTGACTCTGGAGAGAGCTTGTGGCCGAGAGAGAGGAGGAGATAGTGTGTGGGAGAGAGGGAGGGAGAGCTGGTGCGACCATTTAATGTCATGCACAGGAAGCAGAGGTTTAATTGGCTTGTATAGGTTTTCTGTCGTCCACATTTTGATATGTTTCAGCAGCATACAGTGATCGAAGTGAAATATGTCACTTATTTCATTTTGGCGAGATCCTGTATGAACTATTATATGGATTGTTGATAACTCCTCCCAGCTTCTACATTTATCTTTAAAAGAAATAGTTGACAAATGCCAATTATGATGATGACATCAATAACATTGTGAAGGGGTATGGTATTATAGAAACATTGCCTGAATATTATTATTTGATGTAGAATACAAGTATTATTGTTCTAATGTAAGATTGAGGGATAACGTTCTTTTTTTATGTTTGCATTATCAGCCAGGGTAATATTATATAACATACTGTGTAGTCTATTAGAAAGTAGTTATGTAAATTCTTCATAAAAAATCTACATAGAAAATTATATATAGTGGGGCAAAAAATATTTAGTCAGCCACTGACTGTGCAAGTTCTTCCACTTAAAAAGGTCTGTAATTCACATAATGAATGAATGAATATTTGCAATGATGGTGGAAAATAAGTATTTTGTCAATAACAAAAGTTAATCACAATACTTTGTTATATACCTTTTGTTGGAAATGAAACCACTCGTTTTCTGTAAGTCTAAGGTTCTCACACACTGCTGCTGGTATTTTGGCCCATTCCTCCAAGCAGATCACCTCTAGAGCAAGGATGTTTTGGGGCTGTTGCTGGACAACACTGACTTTCAACTCCCTCCAAATATTGTTCATGGGGTTGAGATCTGGAGACTGGCTAAGCCACTCCAGGACCTTGAAATGATTCTTACGAAGCCACTCCTTCGTTGCAGTGTGTTTGGGATCATTGACATGCAGAAAGACTCAGCCACGTTTCATCTTCAATGCCCTTGCTGATGGAAGGAGGTTTTAATTCAAAATCTCATGATACATGGCCCCATGTATTCTTTCCTTTACAAGGATCAGTCGTTCTGCTTATTTTGCGGCAAAACAGCCCCAAAGCATGATGTTTCCACCTCCATGCTTCGCAGTAGGTATGGTGTTCTTTCTCCTCCAAACACGATTTTTTAACTCTCCCAATCCTCCTCTGCATCATCCAAATGCTCTCGAGCAAACTTCAGACGGGCCTGGACATCCAATGGCTAAAGCAGGGGGACATGTCTGGCACTGCAGGATTTGAGTCCCTGGCGACGTACGTAGTGTGTTACTGATGGTAGCCTTTGTAACTTTGGTCCCAGCTCTCTGCAGGTCATTCACCAGGTCCCCTCGTGTGGTTCTGGGATTTTTGCTCACCATTCTTGTGATAATTTTACTCCATGGGGTGAGATCTTGGGTGGAGCCAGATTGAGGGGGATATTCAGTGGTATAGTATGTCTTCCATTTTTCTATTAATTCAGAGTTGATTTCTTCACACCAATCTGCATACCTATTGCAGATTCAGTCTTCCCAGCCTGGTGCAGGTCTTCAATTTTGTTTCTAGCGCCCTTTGACAGCTCTTTGGTCTTGGCCCTCGTGGAGCTGGTTGACCAAATACTTATTTTCTACCATGATTGGCAAATACATTTTTAGATGTGATTTTTTATTTATGGCCATTCTCTCCCATCTCAGTCCTGTAAGTATGACATCGCAGAAGTTTTCTGCATTTTGAAACTGAAGTATTGCAGTTTATCGAAACGAATTATTTTAAGTGAAATGAATTGGCCGAAAGTATTGGATCACCTTGATACAGATTTTTCATTCTTAGAATGTAAATCATACTTCTAATGGCTAAAATATTTATTTAAATCTTGTTGCAATTTTCTATATCCATCCATCCAGGCTCTGTTCTGGGTGATCCATGACAAAGAACAATAGTTGTAAAGTGTAATTGTGTTCAGGCCACACAATCTAATTTTCTTACATTGAAACAAAGAATTTTCTGACTCTGGTTTGAAAATAAGATCAGGCAACTTTTAAAACAAAATAGCCCACTTTTTTAATGAACATAACAAAAAGCTAAATTAACATCGTTCATTTTAAAATTATTTTAATATTACTGTTCATTGTCTTTTAGCACCGCCTAGTGGAAGCCGTGGAACAAATTGATCCCATGACCATGGTGGATCATGCGGTTAATTTTAATCTGAAATAAAAGGAAATATGCAGTCAAAAAAACATTTCTCAGTCTTGAAAATTGTATAATGTTCACAGTTACATACCACAGTTATAGAGCTTTTGAACCCTTTCTATGTCAAACTTTGTCAACCTCCTTCTCTGTCCCATGTCTTCGGTCTCAACAAGGGATTCAATAGTGGGCAGGCCATTGGATGAAAAATACCAACTAAAAAACAGTTTTTTTTTTAAAACAATGAAAAGCAATTAAAAAGATTAGACTTATTAATTGAGGTCTATTTAACTTGTGACCCATGGGCCAAATCAAGCCTGTAAAACAATCCGATCTGTTCCACAATTAATGTCTCCAAATAAGTATATTTCTCTTTACCTACAAAAAGGTTTCTGAATGATTAACCAGTAAACATGTTTTTACTTTAGAGATGGGTAAGTAATGGCGGTCATTAAGTGGGAACTAGTACAGGATGGGCCTCAAAAATCTTGGCGTCTTTAATATAAGGAATAGCTCTGAATTATTGTGCATTACCTTCCATAATGCAATATTGAGCTCACATCATAAGGAATATTTAAGGTGTTTCCAGGCTGCTTGCTGAAGTTATTCCAAGCTTCTGAAAGACCAGAACATTTCATTACAGAAACTCACAAGATTGTTACATTCACAGAATTACAGACGTGTAAAAGACATGCATTAAATTACCCTTATAAACTGAATGTGTTGCTGACTACTTACTTTTCATGACATTTTCTTCAAAAATTTTGATGTATTGGTCACGGTCCATGCGAGTGTGCTCATGGTAGAACCCAAGCGCATGCAAAATTTCATGAACAATGTTTCCTATTCTGCAATCACTTGCAACGTATATAGGTTGTTGTCCATGGATGAGGCCCACATACGATGCACATCTGGAAAACACGAGAAGTTACCAAAAAGTTTAAACTCATACAAGAGAAGGACAACGTACCCTTGACCGTTTTGGAAATGGAGGTAGTCTGTCTCAGACGTACGCTTATGAAATGTCACACAAGTTTTGTCGGAAATCATTTTTGTTGCTGCTTCTATGTCACTTTTTCGACTTTCTGGAAATGGAGAAGAGCCACAGAACATTGCAACAGTATTTAGATAAATGAAATGTAATGTACTTACTTATCTCGTCATGTATCTCATATGGTATTGCTGGAGATGGCCAGATCATGTGCAGAGCATTCCTGTCGATCTATACAATGTAGCATAATACTTTATTCATTCAATCACAGTTCATATACATTGGGAAATTATCAGTTCAAAATGGAGTGGAAAGAAGATAAACTTAAGATTCCCACCCCATGTACATAATTTACATTATTATCGATACAAATAGTACAAATGATCACTATTGATGAATGCACACCCGATGTACACTCACACGTGGTAGTATGTCTCCTTGAATTGGATGAGAACCAAATGTCTGCAACTCTAAAACAAAACAAACGTTTCAAACCATTACATACCATATACCACGTGTCTAGGGTAACTTACCTGCAATCGTTTCAGGGCTCTCTTTAATAATACTTTGCCAGATTATTTGGAGATCATTGAAAAGCTGTGCTGAAACAAAATGGTTGTTAACTAAAGAGACGGTATGAGAAAAAAAAAAAAAAAAAAAAAACGACATTGAATTGTATAACATTGAAATTAGCAAATAAATGACTCCAGATAAGGTGCGTTGGTGAAGAGACCTGTACAGCCTGCGGTGGACGCGTTGTAATTATTCCTGCACAGTCTTACTTGCAAATACTCAAAAACAAAATTCTATAATAACTATTTAAGTTAAGATACATTGTAAGTTGAAAAAGACTGGTACCTGTTAAATTGCCCTTTATTGGAACCGATTTAACTGCAACATAAAATAATTTCACTTATACTATAGCATAACTTAACATACCCGTAAATCGGATAATCTCTTACCTTTAGTGGTGCACCCAAAACATATAATTAAATTTAACAGCCAAAGATGCATTTTTGTTAGGATCTGTTTGACGCCGAACCGTTTCTCCTCTCAATCTGTGGGAACAAGGCTCACCTGCGCAACTATGCAAGTCTACAGATGGCCACTCAATAATTTCACTGCACCGACTATAAAGCTTGATAAAGAGGAAAACTGTACTAAAAATGCTGTACTACGGCTTGTAGAACCTGCTACTGGTAACACGCACTTTTTTTTTAACAACCGATGTGACCCTGACCTGTTCGGAATTTATTTAACAGAGAAATATGTGTTGCCACCAGTAAACACTAGAGGTCACTGTAGCGCCTGTCCAATGACGTGTTACGTTCGTTACGTAGCCTGTCCAATGACGTGTTACGTTGTGACTTCCGCATTAACAGCACGAGGGTAAAGAAGCTGCTTTGGTCAACAATATCATTTTTCACCCTTTTATATCACCACATTTGTAGTTTGTGCTAATGTTTTCTCTGGCATTTGTTATGTTTTGAGACAGTAGTCAGATTGGTGAACGTCATCAGCTTCAGGAGTGTGAGTAAAGTCGCTCTGTTTGCACATTTTCACATCTGCGTCTTGCTTTTCATTTGCTGTGTACGATAATAAACAAATGAAATGATGTCTTGACAATAGCACTCATGAATAGTTCACCTACAAAAAACGGATAAGTGTCAACATTGAAAAGCTTACAATGTGTCTTTACCAAGTAGCGTTTGGAACATCCATATATATCAGTGCCAAACAAATCAAGTTTCACTCCTTTTTGACTGAATTCTTTCTCATTTACTGCCATTATCAAAACATTGAGCATTGAGCACTAAACTTGTCGACACATTTAAAACGGATATTTGATGTTGCAAATCAATCTGAAATACGTATAATGCTCGTCATGGAGATGACTTATTATGGGGCGCTTGATTAGGAAAAAAATAATCTGAGTCATATGGGTGCTTCTTGACAAATTATAAATTACTATGGCAACAATCGATTCGTTGTGATTAATTTACTAAATTTTTAAAGCCCTTATTCAGGTGTCCGTTGTTTAAAAATATGTTTTCGTATTATCCCCAACACTGTAGAGAACGGTCTTCTCGTCCCTGTTGTTTTTTTTCTTCTGGACAGGAATAGCTTTTGTCTAATCTGTCTAATCTGTCTAATCTAAAGAATTTAACTTCTCAAGCAAATGTGACATCAATTAGACTGACTCTGACTGATTATGCTTCATATCATAATGTTGGTTAATTTTTCACCTGTCTAGATTAATCATGACGAGATGGGCCAGAGCGAACAACGTTCACCGACACAAACCATCTGAGGCCACTCCATGGAACCAGCTGAGACAAGGACAGCGAGCTGCTCAGTCCAGTGGCAGCTCCACAAACCAAACATGTAAAAATGATCACCTGAGGAGGACTCAACCTCAGGGCGGTATAGTAAAGAAGCCAAACCATAAAAAAGACTATGTCAGTGAGGATGTAAATGGATTCATGGAGTATCTCCAGCAGAGTGGCCAGATGCAACATAAAACTGATAAAAATATACAACCAAGAGAGCTGGATTTCGCAGAGGAGGTGCAAACTGCTTTTAAAAAAGATCAGAGGAGAGAAGACCGAAGAATCAAAAGACAGAATGACAAGAAAAGTAAAATGGTAAATACTTTTTCCCCATCAGTATTGTAAGAATAATTTTAGTAGCTGACATTTGTTTTTGTTTATTTCTACAGCATTGTTTTAACTGTAGAAAGCCAGGTCACGGTTTGGCAGATTGTCCAGAGGCAGACAGAGATGAGGAGATGGGTAGAGGCATCTGTTACCGCTGTGGCTCAACTGAACATGAAATTCACAAGTGCAGAGCTAAAGTAGACCCTGCTCTCGGTGAGGCATAATTTTTCACACCTTTAACACTGGTCTCCTTTACTTTATAAAGTAAAAGGGAACAAGTCACAGAATTATGGGTCTTCGGTTTGGAAGATTTGGAAGGGGTCCTTGTGGCATACCTTGGGCTTTTGCCATTGATAAGAATGAAAAAATGGAATTCATGCTTGCTTATTTTTGAGACGTTATGAGAATACCTTATCTGCTTTATTGTATCCTAATATCTTTTTTTAGAGATCAGTTTATTCTTTTCCTTCCTCCAAATGTTACCATACAGCTATTTACTAACATACAATTTTATAGATCAGTTCTAACAGCCTTTCCATGTACTAATTTTTTTGTTTATTTTACCCCAATATAGGAGAGTATCCATTTGCAAAATGTTTTATCTGTGGACAAACGGGGCACTTGTCACGTTCCTGTCCTGATAATCCTAAAGGACTCTATGCACAAGGTATGTAACCGTTTTGAGGTGTATTGTCTTATTCAGTTGGACTCTTTGTGAATGTAAGTATATTGTAATATGACTGTGCAGGTGGATGCTGCCGTGTGTGTGGTTCTGTTGAACATTTTCAAAAAGACTGTCCAGAGCATCAGGCATCAAGTGAGTACTTTCCTTCTGCTATTCATTTGACCTTTTGAAATGTTTGAAATCCTATAATCTACAATCTATTTTTTCAGCAAACACAATGACACTAAAGTGGTTGTCCAACAATATGAGTGCTGACCACGAAGATGTGCATATGCCAGTGAAGAAAGCCAAGTCTAAGCAGACCAAAGTTGTGGTTTTCTGATATAATTGGATGCAGAGTTAATCAAGAGCTAAACAAAGCTAACACTTTGGACTATAACACTGTTTATACAATGTATAGCATGAGGGCAGCCTTTACAGGTGGATTTTCGAGGGATGCACATACGGAACTACATCATACAAAGATTTTAGGCCTTCTGACCTGAACCCATTCCATAACCAAAGCTAATCAGACCCAGCAGTTGCGGGGGGAAATTTAAGCTGGAAGCCCTATAACATGAGGCACTGCCATGACCCAATGTTTCTGAAACATCCCATTAAAGTATATAAACTTTTTATAAAGTTTTTTGCATCTGAATGCATGTTTGCGTGAACTGTTTATAGGTTTAATTTATTCTACAGTATAGATGCTTATTCTCAAGTTTTCGAAAGAACAGACGGGCAATGGTGATACTTGATTACTAAAGGTTAGATTTAAGTGTTTGTAGACGTACAAGAGCGCGTGAGTCATGTTTATGTGTCCAGTGAAGAGGCTCTTGCAAGAGGGCACAGGAAGGAACCCTGTCGCACACAGGAGGGAGATGAAAGTGAGAGGTTACAGTTAACGATGGAGCAGAAGAGGTCAGAAAGCAAAGCCCGAGTTGAATCTAATGAGATTACCAAATGAGAAGAGACCGCAATAAATGTTACAGTAGATTGTTCTCAAAATCGTTGGCAATTTATATAATGTATGAGTGATATATATGTATATAAATAATTACATGACTAAAACGTTTAGCAATACACAATTTTTTTTTAATATATTCTTGAAATCTGCTAATATTAATAATATACAGAACAGTCGCTCAATAATGACGTAGTGCATTGGTATGTTATGCTCTACTCTACTCACGATGTAGTTCTGTTTCCAAACTTCCAAGAAACCAACAGCGATTCAAAAGGTAATTAGATGTGTGTCATGTAGGATATATCGCAATAACCACTGTCCTGTTTTAGTCATAGACAGCTGATGTTTCTTAATAAAGTGTAGTTTGTCTTTAGCGTGTATTGTTATTGTTTACACTCACTGTCGCCTGCTAGCTAGCGTTAGCTAGTCGTGTTTCCATTCATCCATCTGCTCATGGAACAAAACAAAAACCATAGGAAAACACTTTCCTCCACCATCTAATTTCTGGGGATAAATACTTTAGAATAGCAGGTGTTAAAGGATGTTGTTAAAGCAGCGGCTGCTTTTTTCTGTGACAGTCTATGGATATGACATGTGGCTCTCTCTGTTAGCAAAGCATATGGCACAACGTGTTTATTAAAGAGATAGGTGTAGGTTTCCAGCTCAGTCTGTACCATGGATCTATGGTCTGTACTTATAACAAAATTAAGGGGCTCTGTCACATTACAGTGACTGCATATTCGTGGTGAAAAAACAAATGATTTACAAGAGGCATACTATAAGACAGAGCTTTAATCATGGGTTTAATTTGGTTTAGGTCATGTCTTTACTTATTGTAAGTGTAATTTGTGAGGAAAAAGATTAAAGCTTAGCTCCAGTTTTGTTTTGCACTTATTTGTTTAAACAATGTTGAACCAAACGTTCTCTTTACCGTGTCTTCCCAGATGAATACTTCAGTGCGGAGGATTTCACTCTCAGGTTCCTCTTACTTACTTCGCCTGGATTGGATCGGACCAGACCTAGGTTCAGGGTTTCAGCTGCTGCTGACTGATGTTCAGAATGCTTGGAGAGGAGAAGGTACAGCACTGTTCCTCAGGACTTCTCTGTTCTCTAATGTTATACGTTGTAGGACATACGTTCATAATTCACTCATGATTGCACTTCAAAGCTTATTTCCCCCAGACCTGGCCTCTTGCAAAATAGTGAAATCCTTGTACTGTTTTTCACATGTTGTTACAGTTCTTGAGGCAGCTATATGTGAAGAGGCCAAGGAGCTCGAGACGAATAAAGAACAATATGTCCGTGACATCCACCAGGCCCTGACTGGTGCAGAGAGCTCCACGTCCTACAGCTTCACTCTCACTGGCAGTGGCACTCACGTTTCTCTGGCTTATGAAAAGGTCCAAGAGGATATCTCTGTAAGCTTTATTATTTGTATCAAGTTCTACTGTGTACAGTACCAAACAGGTGTCACAGACTAAGATTCTGGGTATTTCAGAAGTTTTAATAAAAAACATATATATATTTAGAAACCCCTAGTTTATGATTAAACCATCAACATTTTCAGGAAACCTCCATAATGGTGATTCAGCTCATAATTTGGACGCAGAATTTTTAAAGAAATATCTTACTGCCCTCTAACTCGTTCTGAAGCCGCCCCCTTCCGGACTCTTCTGTTTATTATTTGTACATAGTTTAATTTAATTATATTTGTGAAACAATTTATAGTTTTGGTTCGAGCATTTGTATTGTCACATCCACCTATGTCCCATTCTAGCCTCTAAGTAGAATGATGTGGATACTAATCCATTAGCAGTAGCTATCAAATTAGAAGTGACTTCAAGTAGCACAATATCAGTGCTATGGTGAGTTCTGAAACAAACTGACATTTTCTAAATATATTTTCTTGATCGATTGTCCTGTAAATTACATACCTGGAATGGAAATATTAGGGAAAGGTCTGAAACGGGTCTATAATTAATTAGTAGATCATGATCATGATTGTGATATATATATATTTTTTTTGACACAGCCACACTGAAGTATTTGTTATATTCAGGATCGGGTATACTATTAAAGAAAGCGTTGGCCTTTGGGGAAAAGGAAACCATACATATTTTACTTTTAATTCAGATGAACTTACATAGCATCTTGAATCGTCAACCTACATTGCTTCTCTTCTGTCCTTCCCAGTTCAGGTTGGGGTCTGTAACACTAACGGCCCTCTCAGATCCTGCTGATGCGGTCAGAGACCTACTGTTTTACAGCATGGATAAGGGAAACTCACTGGATCAACACAATCACAAACTAGAGGAACAAAACTTGCGCTTAAGACAAGAGCATCAGCGCATTGTGTCACAGTAAGTATAATACACGCAAATGTATGAATCATTAACATTTAACTTCTGCCCAGAGTGTACATGACCTGGAGGTATTACTAAATGCATCCTTCATGATTCATCGCACTTCTACTTTGTGCAACAAATGTACGTCACAGCAGCGTATGTGTGTGAGGAAGAAGATATTTTGATATCTGGAGTTTCCCCCGCATGTTGTTTCCCTTGGTACGACACTTAACCCCACATTGCCGTAAGCCCCCACTGAAAGACCAAAGTCATGTCTTCGATGATGGAGAAGCCATCATCCTGTGGACCCACCACCTGCAGAGGATCAGAGGGGCTGGTGCTTTGAGACTTGGTTAGCAGCTCTGATTGCCACCCCCCGACCCAAAAATGTATTAATTAAGGGGAAGAAAATGACGTGACATGAGTTTCCCCCGCAAATAAAGGATTTACAAAGAAAATATTTGTAAATATAGAGCGTGCACCACAGATGTGTTTTGAGGCAAAATTGGGGAGTGTGACACAGTTAGTTTACTTATAATTTTGGGCTTCTCTGAGCTAGCGGTTTAGTGTTGTCCATCTACAGACTTTGAGTGTTTTGTGAAGCACTTTGAGTGGCCTTTTGTGCAATGTTAGTTGTAACCGAGTTCCAAGTATTTTGTATTTATTTTTAAGTAGTGTAATGCATCACTTTGAAATACTTAGTTTGTAATTTACCAAAATACTCATATTTATTATGATAGCTGTCTCACACAAGTTAAACATGTAATTGCAATTTTACAGGGAAAATTGTTTAATAAACATTTTGTTCTAGGCTGAAGCAGTATGCTAGAGATAAAGAAGAACTGGAGTCGGAGCTGTACTCACGATTTGTTTATGTTCTCAATACAAAGAAAGCAAAGATTCGAAATCTGAAAACAATTCTTGCCAATCTGCAGGAAGAAAGGTACGTCTCACTAGTCCTTCATTATTTAGAAACAAAATCAATCGTATGAAGGAAAAGCATGTGGCTTTATTTTCAGTTCTGATGGAGAAATGCAACAAACCCAAAAAGACGACGATGAGGATGAGTATGGAGGAAGTACAGATAATGAAGCAGAAGATGCAAAACCTAAAGCTGTCGTGAAGAGCCCTCCCAAGGGTGAGTGACCTTTCACCTTTCAGTGACCATTCCATTGTCGAATTAGCTTTTAGGGTCATTGTCATTTCCCCTTGTCCATAAAGGCCAGATATGTGTAGAGTACGACGGATAGTTGTCCCGTGTACAGATTCCACCAGCTCAGTGGCAGCACTTTGGCACTTGGTTGCCTTTCTGACCAGAGCTCTCCTTGTTCAATCTGTTAGTTTAGGTAGACGGCCGTGTCTTGGTAAGTTCACAGTGGTACCAAACTCTTTCAATTGCCAAATGATAAACACACTGGTCATCTGCCCCTTATAGATAGATAGATAGATATTTTATTGATCCCCAAAGGAGACATTCAGGTGTCTAGTAGAAGCTGAAACGCATTCATTCATACATAACAAAACAAATAATTATTTTTTAGAAAGATCTATTTAACAATAATATTAAAATGCAACAGCACAGGTCACTGCAGCACAGGTGGAGGAGCCGCTGGGTGGAGCAGGACAGGTCACAGCAGCAGAGGTGGAGCAGGACAGGTCACAGCAGCAGAGGTGGAGCAGGACAGGTCACAGCAGCAGAGGTGGAGCAGGACAGGTCACAGCAGTAGAGTTGGAGTAGTTGTTTGGTTCTGACCATTTTCTCTGCTCTAGTCCAAAGTGAGATTTTTTTAGTTTATTTTTTTTCACCTTTATTTAACCAGGAAAGTCCCATTGAGATTAATGACCTCTTTTTCAAGGGAGTCCTGGACAAAAGTTACATAGAGTTACATACATTACAGCTTGATCCGCTTGTTTCGGACCATGAATCCTCTGCTCCAGTCTGGACCAGTGCAAAACCATGAACACTGTACTGCAGCAACAGTACAGAAACAATTGTAAAGCACAAAATAACTGTTTCAGAGCTACTTATGAACCAATACCATGGAGTTTTCTGTTTTATTTCTTGTGTTTGAACTGTTTGATGTTGTGTAAAGTCCTCCGAGATAACTACTGTTTGTGATTTGAATTGAATTGAAAGATGAAGATGAAAAAATTACATGTTGTGGACTGACTGTTATTTCTTTACAAGGCATGAAAAAAGTTAGCAAAGTTAGAAACATTACAGAGCATTACATTTCTAAATGAACCAGTAATGGAGGTTTTGTGTATTTTCTTAGCCAGTAATGTTTCTGTTGATCACCCTGAGCGTGTCTGTATCCACGGTAACTTCGGTAGCTGCTTGCTTACATAATGGGTTAGTGGATTTGTGACATCATCTGAATTATGTAATGCACAGTAGAAGACCTGATTATGAATTACACACAGGGCAGGACAGATGAATGTTTAATGTGGATGGACTGGTTGAGACCTAATGTGTAGCTAAACTAGAGTGGAGTACGGGGCTTTCCTAATTTTTAAAGCTATACTCACTATTTTCCACTGTCCACACTTGAAATGATCCATTCAGGACTCCTGGGTAGGTGCTCACAGGACTTTCCCTGAGTCTGTGTACAGTCTCTGATGAAACTTTACTTTCTGTTGCTAGGACAATGACTCAGTATATGGTGTTTTGCCAACAGAACGAAGAAAACAAGGAGAGGTGAATTTAGACTGGTATTTGAGTGTATTTTGACTAGATCCAATCCAATCCAATCCACTTTATTTATATAGCACATTTCATAAACACGCAGTTTCCAAAGTGCTGCACAACATGCAAAATTGCAACAAATAAATAAATACACACATTTATATAAGAAAATACATAAATAAATAAAATAAAATAAAAACACAGAGGACCACACGACTCACGCGGTGTTAAAAGCCAGAGAATAAAAGTGGGTCTTAAGACGTGACTTAAAACATTCCAACGAGGGAGCTGTTTTGACGTGGGGGGGCAGGGCGTTCCAGAGCTTTGGTCCAGCCACAGAGAAGGCCCTGTCCCCCCGGGTTTTAAGTCTCATCTTAGGCACCACGAGCTGGAGCTGGCTCTCGGACCTCAGTGCGCGGGGCGGGTGGTAAATCTGGATGAGGTCCGAGATGTAAGGAGGGGCCAGTCCATTCAGAGCTTTAAAAACAAACAATAAAATCTTAAAATCAATTCTAAAATGAACAGGAAGCCAGTGCAAGGACGCAAGGACGGGAGTGATGTGGTCGCGCTTTTTGGTTCCTGTTAAAAGCCGTGCCGCAAAGTTCTGGACTAACTGTAGCCGGTGAAGTGCCTTGTGTGAAATACCGGAGTAGAGTGCGTTACAGTAGTCCAGACGTGAAGAAATAAAAGCGTGCATAACTTTTTCAAAAAGGTTAAAAGATAAAAAAGTTTTAACCTTGGATAAAAGCCGCAGATGATAAAAACTCGATTTTAAAACACTGTTGACCTGCTTGTCAAATTTAAAATCACTGTCTATAGTGACACCAAGGTTGGTGACTGTGGGACGCACAAGTTCACTCAGCGGTCCCACATCCACCTGGTTGGCCCCAAAGAGAATCACTTCTGTTTTTTTATCATTCATTTTAAGAAAGTTTTGGGCCAACCAAGCCTTAACGTCACATAGACAGTCGAGTAGGGGTGTCAGGGGGCCATAAGCATTTTTTGCGATGGGAAAATAGATCTGACAATCATCCGCATAAAAATGATAAAAAAAGGCCATGCTTTTTAAAAATCTCACTGAGTGGCAGGAGATAAAGAGAAAAGAGGATGGGGCCCAGAATTGATCCCTGAGGGACTCCACAGTGGAGGGGGGCAGAAGATGAGGTGGAATCCCCCAGCCTAACAATGAAGGACCGCCCCGACAGGTAAGAAGCAAACCAGGTAAAGGCGGTCCCCCCGACACCCACACAGTGTTCAAGTCTATTTAAAAGAATCGCATGGTCCACTGTGTCAAAGGCAGCAGTCAGGTCTAAAAGCACTAAAATGGAAGAATTACCAGAGTCTGCCATTAAGAACAAGTCATTAAAAACCTTTAAAAGTGCAGACTCAGTGCTGTGAAAAGCTTTATAACCTGACTGAAAAGTATCTAAAATCCCATTGGCCTCCAGAAAAGGTTGCAGCTGTGCAATAACGCATTTTTCTAAAATTTTGGACACAAACGGAAGTTTAGAAATGGGCCGATAGCTTGATAGAACTGTTGGATCAAGACTTGGTTTTTTAACTAATGGTTCGACAACAGCTCTTTTACAAAAAGAGGGAACAATACCAGAAAGAAGACTGCTATTGATAATTTTTGTGACTGATGTTCCAATAATACCCCAGACCTCTTTAAAAAACCGAGGTGAGAAAGGGTCCGTGCAACTGGACGAAGGTTTCAATTTGCTCACAAACTCTGTAAGTGCAGACAGTGAAACAGGCTCAAACTGACTAAAGACATTAGCACACAGAGTGGCTCCAACAACATTAGCAAGTGGCAAAACTGATATATTTCCCCTAATAGTAGCGACTTTACCATTAAAAAATGAGAGGAATTTTTCACAAGTGTCCCTTGTCATCTCCAGTGTGGTGGATTGGAACGGGTTAAGAACAGAGCCAATAGTTTTAAAAAGAACATGAGGCTGACTTACTTTACTCGCAATCAATTCTGATAAGAACTTGCTTTTTTCAGTTCGGACCACACATTGATAATTTCTCCAACTCTCTGTCAAAATCTGATGAGACACCACCAAGTGGTCATGTTTCCATTTGCGCTCAGCTTGGCGACACACCCGCCGCGCAGCCCGTGTAGTGTCATTAATCCATGGCTCTTGTTGTCGATTTGGGCGCATAGCCTTCAAAGGAGCGACATTGTCCAAAACAGCAGTGCAGGTGGACAAGAAAGCATCCATCAATTGTTCAGTCGTCATGCATTGAGAAGAGCATACAGGAAGAGCGGATGAAACAAAAAGTGGAGCAAAAGCTGCAGCCGTGTCTGACTTAATCACCCGGCTTTTACGCACAGGAGCTGACTGCGCCACCTTCTCCAATCTAAAGCTAAACATGACAGGACTGTGGTCAGAGAAAGTTGCATCCCCAACAGAGACGTATTCAACAGAGACACCATGCGACAATACAAGATGCCCAATTAGCTGTTGAAAATAAACGCACTCTAACTTGCTTGTGATACTTTTAAATCATTAATATTTATAAATCCCTATACATTTTCTAAAGCTGGGGCACCTTACTTTTTTCATGAGTAATACATGTAGTTTGCCCCAACAGAAAGTGTATCGTAAACATTCCAACTTGTGAACAAATCAGACCACAAAAGGCTGTCTGCATCTTAGTAGAAGACGGGTCATCTTTTGGGCTCATTACTTGTAAGAAAAAGCCCTGTGTGTCGCTTTTTGACGCTTTGGGCAGATTGCTGATGGAAGCATGGAAGCATGGTTCTCACTTACGGTCTGTAAAAGTGGATCTAAACATGTGACAGAGGAAAATAAGATGCCTGCGTATGAAAATGATGGAACCAAACTGTTTTGAGAACTGTTTGCGGCTTGAATGGTTGGAACCCCGGCATTCATAGAAGTTGTACAGTCTATAAGAGGCAATGGTGGTCCTGATGTTTCTGCGTTATTATAATAGATCCATGTGTTTCTGCCACAAGATATGCATACAAAAGACATATTATAAAACTTTGGTTGAATAAGTCCCAGCCCTATAGATTGGAATTTGAACAGTCATCAGCCTTTATGGTATTTCTCATCTGACATGAGGACCTATAAGAAAAAGGGGAGTAGAGGTGATCGCTATGGGCAGATGTCATATCTCAAAGTGTGAAGAAAAAGTAAAATGGTGTGAAAAACCTTGTGCATTACATAACCACCTGGAAACAGACTCCAGACCTCAAAAACTCTGAAATTGCACAATATGATGACTAACGTTAAATGTAGGACATCCATTTAGGGGCTTATTTATCAAGGTTTTGTGTGTGAGAATCAAAAAATGAGTAGCATAACATTGGAGAAAACTAATTTTATTCTGTACACAAGCAGATAGAAATAAACCACAAGATGGCACCCGCTTTTTCCACTTACTGTACCTTCATTTAGCATGGGCGCTTCAGGGATCGAAATATACCATTAAGTCTTTGTACTAGTATGGATGTTGAATCTAAGCTTGTCCACCAATCACTAGGCAGAAGTCAGTGATTTTCCACTTGATGTTTTGGTTATCTGAAGGTCAAAGCTAACATAACTATTGGCACCTAGATGCTCAGAGAAGGAACTTGATTCTTCTGGTATAAAATCACAAATCTGCAAATCTTTGGTCGTGTCCCTTTTACCGACAATAAAACGTCTTCTGCTGTGACACAATCCCAGACCTCCACATCTTTTGTCATTTTCTTCACTAGGTTGCTGAACTAATTCACTAACTCTGGCTTTTCCCAGAATGCACTACCCCGACCCCACTGGACGACGAGCTCCGTGATCTTACAGATGTGGCTCCGTGTCGCAAGCGCCGCATTCGTCACCTGGAAGCACCATCATTTCGACACAAGAGAAGGTACCGCAAAATGACCAGTCATTCATGGCACATTTGATACTTTTCTACCTCTTAGTCTGATGTGTAAAGATGCTGTGTGTTTCTTTGAATGTTTGTGAAAAATTGTCATCTGGAAATCTAGTTCATTGTGTCTTTCCCACCTCTGTTTTCCCCCCCAGTGTATTTCCCCACTCCCCAGCTTCACTTGTTCCCCTTCGTCTGGTATTCAGTAGAATGGGAAAATCAAACATCATTAAACGTGCCTGTCAAGTCATTTATGACGGGGAATCGCACCCCAACCTTAGTGGCATGTTACGACTTTGACCCTCTGACCTGGCGTTTGCCCGGTCACAGGGTTCAAGGTTACCCCCAGTTTTTTGGCTAAAACAGAAGTTCAGACATTGTCTAATAGCGGCATTTACTCTCGGTTACTCCGTTGTATTTTACTGATTCTGTGTTTGCTTCTTTTATGTGCTCCTATAGCTTTTTCACTTCAAACTGAAATGGGAACCGCCAATATCTCAGTCTTGGCTGGTGTCACTTGTATCTTTTTCATCGTGCATTGTTTCAGTGTTCTCGTGGCTCGCTGATCCATACGACAATGATAGTGATGTCTTTTCACACTCTCTTGAGGCCAGGTGTTGACATGACCTCTGCCCTTGGTCATTAAATTCTTGAGAGTCTTGGGAGGTAGTGCTAGACTAAACATTTAAACGCACACAAAGTCATACCATGTTTTTTTTTTTTTTTTTTACCACTGATATTGACATAGGCTCAATATGTTGAACTAGAGGGAGAGAAGGAAACGCTGTCAATCATCTGTGGTTGGTCTAGAGAAGAGTCTGGACTGGAGATGTGCTCTGGAGGGTACCGGCACTTGTTTATTTGTAATTATCAGATGTGGTTTAGATTGCCAGGTGTGGTTTATGATTTCTCCTGACCTGCTAGTAACGTATGCGTGTGGAAAAGACGTACACACTTTGCTTTAGGCAACCCAGCTGCTGCAGAGTCTTCCCACTCGTCCTTTTTAACCTGGAGAGGTTTCTTTGTTATTGACTTCATTGACTACCATATGTATTTGGTTTCATTTTGGTTTGCTATCTGGTAAGATGTTTCTTTTCTGATATTACTTTAGTAATTAAAATGCCATTTTGACTATGCAATTTTGAGAATTAATAGCGACTCATGACAAAGGAAATTGATTTAGAAGTTCACCAAGTCAAGTCTCTAGGCTTAACAAAATATTATGTTAAAGGTTTTCTGCCTGACCAAGTTGGGGAGCACAACGTCACTACAGAATCCAAAAGTCCCCAAATGTCTTTTTCCTTTTTCTCATTTGTGCTCCCATATATTTGCATATTTGTATCAATCTGAATTCAAATGACCTCAGTGTTGGCATCCAAACCTCTGAGTGAGAATCACTAAGTTGTGCCACATGCAGATGGCCTGACTTGCAGTTCTCCTCAGAAGAAAGCAACAGCTGCGGCGGTGTTTGATCAGGGGCTGCTTCCACAAGTGCAGACCCCCTCTGAGCTGTTGTGTGGGGTACAGCTCCTGGCACAGCAACACCCGGCCATTGTGTATTCACTGCAGTTGCTTAACTCTTTCACCTTGTTTTTCTGTGCAGGTCATCAACAGGGAGAGTAGTGAAGAGAAGAGTAGAAAAGAGAAGGTGAACAGGCCGTAGTAAACCAAATATACCTCTGGGAAGACTTGTGTAGTTTGTAAAGCCGCCTCAGCGTCAATACAAGAAAGAAAGCAGTTGCTGATATTGTGGTTTTATTTCTGGTCAGTTTAAAAAGGCCAGCGTTGGGTTTCTGTGGTTGTCTTACTTCCCTCTTAATTAAAATCATAATGAAAGTGAAGTTACTGTTTTTTAATTGAATTACGCTTATTTGTCTGGTTTTGAAACCGCTTTAGGCAGTGGAGCTGTCTACATCCTGAAACTTCCATTTTAAAAGTTCAGAAAAAAGAGACGTTGTATTTTTACCATTAGAGAGAAATGTAATTGTTATGTGTTCTGCTGTAGATATAATTAACCTTGAGCATTCTTTATCGTATAATTTCAAAATATATATTTTACTGTTGATTTGTTTTAATTGACCAATGTTGAAAGTTATATTTTTCTTGTTATATTATTAAAGAATACACCTTTTTGTCATCCAGTGTATTGAATATATGCAGTCTAAACGTGAGAGGCGCACACATACATTCAGTGAAAGCAAATGCACAAAATGTGGCTTTTAATTTAGCTTAATTATGCTTCATCATCATCATCAAGTCTGTCTGTCTTACTTACCACTGTGCAGTAGACCTTAAGGAGCCCCCACAGGTAAATGTTGGAGCACAGAAGTGGGGGTAGCTGCTGACCTACTATTACACCCCCCACACACACACATACACACATACACACACACACACACACACACACGTACACAGAGAGTGCATGCAGGTATATAAAGTCTCTGCCCATGTGGTTCTAGTCTGGCTCCTCGTGGACTTCCCGTCTCAACAGGAAAGCAGTGCTGTAAACTGGCCTCATTAGCCCACTGACCCCGTCTCTGTGGTTCTGTGTGTTTGATACAGGAGTCAGTCGCCCGCAGCCCTCAGTGTGCAGCAGGCGCCCCACTGCTCCTCAGATGCTGCAGCAGCAACTTCTGATGCTGAGGACCTGTTTGAGGACTTCTAACCCACCTCCAGTGTGCTTACAGTACAGCCATACACTGGACTGATGGGCACTTTTTCAACCAGTGCTGCAAGCTTCATCTATGGAAGAGATATGTTTGTTTTTGTACATTTATAAGGTCTGTGTATTGTACATGTAATTATGTATTAATGTATATTTGTTAAAAAAAAAAGTAAATCATGTTTTAATCGTATTGTCACATTTTTAATACAGATTTTTTAGATATCCAATGGTGACCTGTCATGCTTTTCATTAAATATTAGATTTGCATTTGATTGTTTTTTTAACAATACTCAGAATATTTCAAATGTCTTTGACCTTGCTGAACATGAATTGTACTCAGACTTTGACTTAATTATGACAATAAAGTTTGAATAAAGTAAAAAAAAAGTTGTATTTTATTTTTAGTTACCCCTATTATTATTTGAAGTGTTGTATTGTATTTTTATTATGATTATTATTATAAATCTTTGCTAAATGGTTAAGATGCCAATTGATGGTAAAGTGCCTAAAACCAAGTGATAGTGATGCCCCAATGAGGTATATTTCAGTTTCAAGCTTCAATCGAGTAGATACAGTGACTCAAAACGTGATCCACCAAAGGATTGAGGAAACCTTTCAAAGGCAGAGAAGGTCTGTATTTATGTGTGTTTTATTCACGTTCTGTTCCTCCCATTTTTTTGTTTTTTGTTATAAGTATGTTTTTTATGATTATAGCGTCAATGATTCTCCTGTTTGCCTGGAAAAGAAAAAGAAACTGAAGTGAAATGAGATGCTGCTCCCCCTCTCGCAGACGGGTCCGGGGAGTGTGTGGTGACGCGCGCAGCTCTGGGCGGTGGGCTGCATGGACGCGCGCCCCTCCTCGTCCTAATGCAGGGATAATACAGGGTGTAAAGTGTATTTGAACTTGCAGCTAGAGAAGAGAAGCAGACAGGCTCGGAGCAACACTACTACTTTTTTGTGCCACTTTTAAAAGCACCAATTAATCCAGGGAATATTAAAGGACCCAAATTGATCAATGACACCAAGGATTTGCCGCTGATCTACGTCAAAGGTGCGTCTAGTGTTATTTTCAGCATGCACATTTCAAGTGTTTTTTGTCATTATTAACCGCTGTGTTTGCTAATGATATTTTTATGTTATCACCATGTTCTCACACTGATAACTTAATGAGTGTGCTTAAAGACAGTCGAGATATGAGCCATTAGTGAAGTCCCCCATCTGCTGCTCTTACCTTATCAATGTAGAGGTTGGAACATTCCCTGACCCCCTTGTCCCTGAGTCCATTCCATTTTAAGCCATTTTAAGAAGTTTTGTTTCTCCTTTTCCTCAGTTTTGAGATGATGCCCTACATGTTTACACACGTGTTCTGCTTGGTGTGTCTTTGCTCTGGTCTTCCTCAGCAAGGTGAGTACACAAACTATAGATTTATTTAGAATCAGAATTGTTTTATTGCCATTGTAAGTAACAGGGAGTCATGAGCTAGGAATTTCCCTTGGCTCATGGTGAAAACAAGGGATTAAAAAAGTAAAATAAGAATAAAATAATAATCATAAAGGCATGCATTAAAAATCGTTATAAAACTATAATATATTAGTACACAAAATACATATTTAACAATGCATTATACAGTGACAGTTACAATGGGCTGGGATCTAAAACCTCCCTCACAGGTTACTACTATTTTGTGCATTTTGTTATTCATAAATGTAAAACAGCTGTCTGAACTCCTGTGCTCCTCTACACAGCAATGATGTGTAGAGTGATAAGTGAAAATAAGTCTGAAATTGCTCAAATTTTGCATAATGTATCTTGATTTGAGCACATTTTAACTGCCTTTTAAACAAGATTGGCCAATGATACAAACAAAATGATCTTGTTTTTAAAAGATACAACAAATATCTCCCTAGGAATGAGAAAATAAAGCAACAGTTCTTGAAATGAGACTAAATGGCTTTGTCCCATTGGCCAATCTTGTTTTAACCCTTTAATGTTCACTCCTTGAAGACAGCAATGGTGTAGCAGCACTAATAAAACAAATCATTTTTAACCACTAGGTTTGTAACCACTAGGTCTGAAAGAATAGTGACTCAAAAAATGATGTACCAAATGGTTGGGGTTAAGACAAGAGTTAAGAGTTGTTCACAAATTAAGATAAAAACCACTCAATTCAAGCAACTATTACCTCATATTTTATCATTTTTTGCAGCGTACTCTATTACTGTACTTTGCTGTTTAGTAAAGTCTCATAGCAGCTATGAGACATTATTCTGTACAAGTTTTACAGTACCTCATGTTAAGTCTCATAAACACACCCTCACTGTTCTCCAGGGCCCTCTCACCAGATGAAGCTGGAGACGGCGGCACCTGTCAGGGCGTCACTAGCCGACCACGCTACGCTGCCTTGTCGCTTCTCCATAACCTCAGATTGGGTGAGTTTGCCAACCTTCGGGGCCACAGAGGACCCCCTGAGAGTTAAGTGGACGAAGCTGGAGGACGATGGAGAGCGGCTGGTCGTGGTGGCTCAGGGAGAAGATATGAAGGTGGGAGCAGAGTACACAGACAGAGTCCAGCTTCCCAAATTTCCAATGATCTCCCAAGACGCCTCTTTGGTGATGTCCAAACTCCGGGCCAGTGATGCTGGGCTGTACCGCTGTGAGCTGATGCTGGACATGGACAACATCCAGGCCACCGTCACTCTCAACATCACTGGTGAGTCTATCCACAGCTGACTATGGCTAATTTACAGAATGTTTCATATTAACACATCTAGTTTTTCGTCAGTGGGGAAATGCTAGTGTTGCGTCACAAGTTACAGAACAGTAGGAATGCACTGCAAAAAATGATGAAATATGAGGTAATGGCTGCTTAAATCTCAGCTTTTATTCAGATTCATTTGCCATTTGCACTAAAACCACATTAGAATACATCTGCAAAAGTCCCCTGTGTGCACAAGACAAGTATGTAAATAAAACACAGTTAAAAGTACAAAAATAAAGCAAACAAAAACAGGAAAAAATGGACACATTGATCAACAAAAACAGATGCAATACAAAGGCAAGATCATTTAAAGTGTCTTACTGATAACAACTTGTGGAAATAAGCTGTTTTTATTGAGATGTCCTGCATCTCAGCGAGCTATATCTTGGCCAGAGGGAAGAAGCTGGAACATGGGTTTTCCAGGGTGCCCTGAAGAGTCATTGATTATTCTAAAAGTTTGGTTTAAAAGTTTTAAAAATGTATAAAGAACATTTGCTGTCCTATTCCAAGAGAAACAATTCTTCTATCTTTTCAAAACAAGATAATTCTTCTTGTCTCATTGGCAATTCTTGCTTGAAGGCAATTAAAATGTGCTCAAAATAAGATACATTCCGCCAAATCTGTGCATTTTTTGATTTATCTTTCATAACTTTTTGCAGTGTGAGGACCCCATAGTGTAGCACAACTCTATACTTAAAATAAATCCAAAATATTTGTACTTTTAACTTAATAAAGAAGCAAATTGTATAATGCAGTATACTCCAGTGAAAGAAATGTATACTTATATGTGTACATCTGTAGATAATCTGTAATCTGTAACACTCTGGATTAGAATTAGATTAGATTAGATTAGATTGGTTTATTTGAAAGGGGACAGTGCAATTTCATGTAACACATGAACAAACATGGTTAAAAAAGCCAGAATTAGCCAGAAGGCTATTTTTCATCTGTAGTCCCCTGGTCAAGATGTAAAAAGGCATTAAAATACAAGCATGATAAAACATTACAATTCTTTGATACATCAATAACAACAATATAAAATATAAATGACACTGTATAATAACTAAAGGCACACAGTACCTGATTACAATATAAAAACACACAAAAACACTTGTTTAAAAGGATACGTTAGATATACAATACAGCATAACATGCTCAGCTTTTAATGTTGGCAGACGTACATGTTAATGTACCAATTGCGAGATATGCAAGAATATTAGGATAGTAAGTCATTAGTGAAGTTTCTTACTTATTCGATCCATAACAAGCATAACTGTGAACCCCTGCGGCTTGTATATTTTTAAAGATTATGTTTATTATTGTGTTGTTAAAGGATACAATAGGTTCATAGTTGAGCTGAAGAAGATATTAAGATGCCTTTACAGCAATCTACCTTGTTTTGTGTGTTCTCGTTTCGGTTTGTTATTATTGTAAAGTGAAGTAAACTGTGAACATGTTTTTTTTTCATATTTGTAAGAAAGATTCCTTTAGAGTCACTATTTGACTCTGTGGGCTGATAACTGTTTACAGACTGAGTTTTCTGTCTGAAAGATGTGACACATGCCAAAAGTACATTACTTGCTGGACTATACAAAGTACACCAGCTACATTTGAAAAGAAAGTACATTTGGTCCACATATAAGCCGCACTTGAATATAAGCCACAGGTTTTCTTTTCATATTTGTAGAAAAGCTGAAAGACGACTCTTCTGACTGGATATGACATGATTTACTTATGAGGTATTTTTTAACGCACTGTTGACGTGTGATGGACAAAGTTTGGTAAATAACACTATAACGTCTGATTCACTCGCGCAGTGCTTACCTTAACTGTTAGCTAACCAAGACTTATTTACCAATATATTTACTACAAACAAAAGTTCTATAACTAATATAACTTGTTGGAGTCAAAATTAAGTCCATAAACTCTGCCAACTCTGCCAAAATAATAATAATAAAAAAACACTGATTCTCTTCATAGGCCACAGGCTTCAAAGAAATATAGCAAAATTTGCAGCTTATAGTGCGGCAATTACAGTCCATGCCCGTGAAAATTAGTGATAGAACCAAACTGTTTTGAGAGCTATGAACGAGTGACGTGGAGTTCATTACATCGCTCAATCCTTTGTTGCCTGAAAGTTAGGTACCCCAGCTTTATTTACACTGAACTGGGCGCTTGAGTTGATTAACAATGTAGTACCCTGTGGTAAATAAGCACTGAAGTTTGTAAACTTAAATAGTATGGATCAGAGTCACTTCGGAGCCATTTCCTCGGCTACATTTCTTTTGTGGGGAAAAAAAGAATCCCGTTTACTGCACTGTACAGCCCGTGTTAAAATGTTATGGTGTTATAAAGTTGCCGTGGTCTACATATATACAAATATGTGCCTGTTTACACATCAGAAGTTACAGCTCACTGAGTGTTTTGTCATGTTTGCGATTTTTACACTGTTGACGATCATGTTTTTTGCCCGTCATTTTAGGGACATGTGGAAAAATATGCTCAAATTCTAGCACAAACTTCTCCCACATCTGTAATTATTGCCTGCTGGTTGTAAATATAATAATACAGTGTTTTCAACTGCCGTGTAAGTGACAATAACAGCATGCCACTGAACTGTTTGGCCTCAATCCAATCATCACACGAAACACACAGTTTGTTGCTTTGAAGAACCTCCTTTTACCCTTTGAGCTCACATACTTACAAATGGATTTACAGAGATGATTTGAAATGGGTAAAATTTTTTAGCTTTTCCAGATAGAAAAGAGTGAAATATAGAAGAAGACCATCCTTTCTCAGCCAATCAGTTCAAAATGTATATTATGAAAGATGACATGTTTTCTAATGGAATCAAGGCAGAGTTGAGGTCAACATTTTAATTTTACAAGACCGAGCAGGACAGGGCCTTTGCTGTAGTTGCCCCCACTCTCTGGAACTCACTCCCACATCAGGAACTCAGACCTGTTCAAAACTGCCAACACAAAACTGTTTATTTGAGCTTTTTTAAAAAGAATTATTATTATTTCTTCTTAACCTGTCCCTTTGTATAACATACATTGGCGGCACGGTGGCTGAGTGGATAGCACTCTCGCTTCTCTGTAAAAAGGTCCTGGGTTCGAATCCTGGTCAGAACAGGGCCTTTGTGAGCGGAGTTTGCATGTTCTCCCCATGTCTGAGTAGGTTTCCTCCGGGTGCTCCGGTTTCCCCTACCACTAAAGACATGTACAATTGGTTTGAATGTAAATGAGAGAGTGAATGGATGGTGTTGATTGGGGGCTGATGATCCAGTGTGTTCGGCGACTCGCTTCCGTCATCACCGTGTGTGGAATGATTGGAAAAATATCTGAACTCTGAACATTGTAAAGCGCTTTGGGTGACCTTGGTCTGTAAAATGCGCTATATAAATACAGTAAGTGCATGGTCGTTTGATTCCACCTCCAGGCCTTTCTGTATGAGTTTGCATGTTCTTCCTGTATCTGTGTAGGTTTCCTCCGGGTGCTCCAGTTTTCCCTACCACTAAAAACATATACAATAGGTCTTAATGTAATGAGTGAGTGAATGGATGGTGATGATAGAGGCTTCGATGCGCCAGTGTGTTCGGCGTCTCGCTTCTGGACATTTATAGACATTGGTCATCTGCCCCTTATGAACCAATACCAATGTGTTTTAAGTTGTTTAAGTTGTTATTTCTTGTGTTTGAACGGTCTGATTCAACAGTTGTGTGAAGCTCTTCCAAGATAACTGCTGTTTTTATTTAGGGCTATGCTAGAATAAATGGAATTAAATTAAATTAAATTCTGTTATCACCATATATGGAGAGAATGGAAATACAAAAAGAATTGTAAAGCGCTTTCGTTGACCTTGGTCTGTGACATCGCTATATATATAAAAATGGTTGCTTACTTAATTAATATTACTAAGGCTCTTTCTGGAGGGACAAACAAAATGTAGGCTTCCCTGCTTTTAACTGGATTTAGTGAGTAAGTGAGAAAAATACTGTAAAATCTCCTTATTGTCTTTACAGCACACAGTCCTGCATTGTAAAGTATTATAAGAATAGAATTGAATCTGACAAACCACTGAGACACATTTAGTGCAGCGCCCCCTTCTGATGGAGTAGAGCCATTGCTGCTCAGACAAAGCTCCATATATTATCGATTCTTTCGCTCATGTCCATTCAAGGAATAATACAGCGGAGTAATAGAGAGAGACTGTGGCACAATATAAACTGCATCGACCCTTGGCCTGAGACATTTACAGATTCCACATTTATACTGAACGGAGGCGCTTTGTGGTCTCCAGACAAAGACCTCTCCTATGAAAAACACACAACTGGTCATTTCACACTCAGTCCTATTCACATCCTCCTCGAACTCTGCCAGGATATCCTCGCTCCTCGGATACTGCACGATACACCCAGCCACGAGAGGATCGAGGAGCTAATTACCGAACAGCACAACTATGTACAAAAGCAGAATATTGCTGAAATAACAGTTTTGTGCTTCTGTAGGCCAGTGTTCTTCAGCCACTGGGCCTAGATCCACTGTCAATATTTTTGGTCAAGCTAAAAGTGCAAGGATCTAATATGTACTTTAAATAAAAGAAAGAAAAAAAAAATCTTTACAGAATCCCATTGGTTTGAATGGGATTGCTCTGGGAGTTTTGATAGTTTCAGGATTCTGGGAATATATATATACCACAAATTGTATTATTAAAACAACGCCCAATGTTATTGCAAAAATCTGTAATGAGTAGATCCAAAAGTTGTGTGTTTGTAAAAAAGTATATATTTCTACATATATTATTCCATATCCAGGAACCCAAATATGGCCCAATCACAATCTAAGCTAGGAAATCGAGCTAAGGAAAAGTATATGAAAAGATTAGAAAGAAAGAGGGGCCGAGTTGGTAGAGCATTGGCCTTTGTGGAGAAGGGTTCGATTCCACCTTCTCCACCGACTCCCACTGTCTGCTGTTGGTGTGTCCTTGGGCAATACACTTAACCCTATTTTGCCTGAAGCCTCCTGTGGACTTACCACCTCCTGGAGGATCAGTGAGGGGCTGGTGCTCTGTGGATTGGGTACAGCTCTGACTGTCACCCACCGACACAGAAATGGATTAAGGGGAAGAAGATGGATGGATGGAAGATTAGAAAGACTTTTTGTACTTGAAAATGACTTTGTATTGTTAATAAAGGCTTTTGTATCAGTTTAAGCTGGTGTTATTCAATTCAATTCAGTGTATTCCAGTATAGCCCTAAATCACAACAGCAGATATTTCAGGGGACTTTACAAAACCTTTGAATTTGCCAACACAGATCAGAGAATCAAACATTTCAAACACCAATGTCCATAAATGTTGATAAATTCCACAAAAGTCGTTAAATGTCGAGTGTCCTGCATCATCACCATGTGCTATTTGATGGAAAAGTTTGCGGAAACAGGGCTGTAGGCTACAAATGAGGTCTTTTAGTGCCACTTGGCAGAATCAATGCATTAACAATCTGTTGTCGTGAAGATGATCGTGAAATTTGTTAAAGACTGTGGCTAATTGATTTTTACAACTCTTGCAGGTGTTGTTTTCCATTACCGAGCTAAAACCAGTCGCTACTCTCTGGATTTTCCGAAAGCCGTGGAAGCCTGCCTCACAGCCGGGGCTTCTATTGCCTCACCTGAACAGCTGGCTGCCGCGTACGAGGATGGCTTGGACCAGTGCGATGCTGGCTGGCTGGCGGACCAAACTGTGAGGTCTGTGATCGGCCACTTTCTGGGGTGTCGAACTCATTTTGGTCCGGGGCCAAGTTTGAAAACATAGGAACTGGTTGGAGTTTGGATATTATTTCCTTGTATGTTTGGATTAAATCACAACTAGTCCAAATATCAATAAAAGATGTAATTGAGGATTCATAGTTAAATATAACAAAATAAATCTTTGGCCTAACTTAACTTCTAATTACATGTTATTTAACGTTTTATAATATGGAAATAAGCTTTAAATCTAAGTATAACAGGCCATAGTATGCCATTACCATTAATGCTGCAAGTAACTGTAATAATGATCATTGAGAGCCATTTCAGGGGCCACTAAAAATGATCTTGCGGCCTGGATTTGGCCCACGGGCCTGAGTTTGACTTGCATGTTTCAGATGAAGTGGAGTAAACGGTGTGTAACTGGTGCATGTTTTGCAGATACCCAATCAAAGTCCCGCGACCCGGCTGTGCAGGTGACCTAATGGGTAAACCAGGCGTGAGAACATACGGGGTTCGAGACCCTTCAGAGAAATATGATGTGTTCTGCTTCATAGACCAACTTCAAGGTAACAGGCATTTTCTTTTCTGTAAAAATTCCAACAACAATTATTTACAACTAAAATGTTTAGTTAATCTCCCTGACTATGCATGATCTTTTTGTTTATTATGCACTGTATCTGTCTTAAGGTGAAGTCATCTATCCACCAATCAAAGAGAAGCTCACGTTAGACCAGGCAAAGGCTGAATGTGAGAAACACAACATGGTGCTGGCCTCCCCTGGTCAGTTGTTTGCAGCCTGGAGGGCGGGGTTAAACCGCTGTGACAACGGCTGGCTCTCTGATGGCAGTGTCCGATACCCCATCAACGTCCCCAGGCCCCAGTGTGGACGTGGCCTGCTGGGGGTGCGCACACTCTACAAGTATGAAAACCAAACTGGCTACCCTGACCACACTGACAAACATGGAGCATATTGTTTCAAAGGTAAGACCCTGGATTTTAATATTACACAATGCTCAAAGTTGACAGAATATTCATCTAATAACCAACAGGTGAATGAATTAAATGTATTGTCATGCAATACAATTTACAATACAATTTATTCTTGTATAGCACTAAATCACAACAGAAGTCATCTCAGAGGACTTAACAAAACCATCAGACCAAGGTTCTCTCTCTCTCTCTCTCTCTCTCTCTCTCTCTCTCTCTCTCTCTCTCTCTCTCTCTCTCTCTCTCTCTCTCTCTCTCTCTCTCTGTGTGGACATCCAACTTGTTTCCCCAAAGGAGACCAAATAAAATAGCATAACATTTCAACCAAGCCAAAACAAAATTAGCTTTTTTTCTCAGTACTTTTGGGGCTTTAAAAGTTTACCCAAAAAAAAAAGAAAAAACTGCAACACGCAGGGATGAGAGCGGGCACTTAAGTGACACTGAATGACAAGCGACTCACTGAAAGTACTTTAAACCCAAACAACAAAGGAGACAAACTCCTTAGTACCCCTTTTATGGTGGGGCAGGTTTTAACAAGGGGAAAACCCAATACACTCTGACACAGATTTTGCACAACACTGTACACGTCTCTAATGTATCACAGCTGGACTATCCCCAAAAAACGACCAACAGACAGTGGGAGGAAACTTCGGAACAAACTTCTCCCATATGCAACACCGTGATTACAAAATGACCTAGTAAAAAAAGAAAATGAAACCGTAGTAAATGTAACTTTGCCATATTTTCTCCCCTTATTTTATTATGATTTAAAAGGGTGAGGGCAAATGCTAAGTTAAAGTGACAGTTTGTAGACAGACCCCAGCCCAGCCAGATGGCCATAGCTCACCAAACATATGACTTCATATTTGGGCAAAGCTAAGGCCAACCTGAATCTGTTGCGTCTCTCTGTTATGACGTAAAAAAAAATTCTATTCCAGACAAGCTCCGCGCGGTCTCCAGGGTCTGCAGGCCACTTGGCAATAAACACCTTTGTTATGTGGCTGTGGAAAAATGCTCAAAGCGGAGAATTGGAATGAGGTGGAGTAGGGAAAAAAAAGCTCCATTTATGCACTTATCCAGGACGGGCAGAGGGAGGGGTCTGTACCCACACGTTGTTATGTTGTTATTTTGTTATTCTGTTTTTATGTCATTTCAAACTGGCACTGTGTCTAGAAAAGAACCATCACATCAATAAATTACTGTCACAACTCATGCAAATATGGGAATCCATCCAACCATCCATTTTTCTCCGCTTTATCTGTTGCCAGGGTGCGGGGGCATTACTCTAGGTTGTCGCAGTCTGGATTGGGAAGATAGGGAATATTGGAATCACTTTACAAAAATAACTTCAAAAAATCCACTGCTTGATGGTCTATATCAGGCATGTTACTGTAATCTTCTTGAGGGACCGATTCCTAGATTAACAAACCCCCCTGTTCAAATGCCATTAGAGCTTACTTCCAAACGTAAATGCAATGAGTTTGCAATTTTTTCAATGACAAGGTTCAAGGCATCCAAAAACGCCATTGTCTCCAATCCACAGATAACCATCCAACAGCCAAAAGGCTCTCTGAGCTAACTCACTTTGCACCTGTAAATGATAAAACTGTCCAAGAGATAATCTCCAGTTTGGAGCTCCTCCACATGCAGATGTGGTTTCCTGCAGCTTGGATGTACATACCCACTAGATTTCTGAAGTCTGTTCTGAGCAGTCTGTTAACCTTCACTCACACAGATAGTAAAACATGTCCCTTCATTCTGGAATACATTCCCAAAGGCCCTGAAAACTGCAGTCATCAGGCCCCTGCTAAAAAAGAGCAGTCTCGATTGCTACACACGGTACTTAACAACTAACGTTCCCCACATCTCAAATCTGCCATTTATGGGGAAAAGTCCTGAAAAAGTTGCTCTACCTACAGCTTACTGAATTTCTTATAATCAACAACTCATTTGATATGTTTCAGATCCGGCTTTTAGACCCCACCACCGCACTGAGACTGCTCTTGTCAAGTTACAAACGATATCCGTCTGAACACTGACGCAGGCAAAGTCTCAATCCATAAATCTTGTTATAGATCTAAGTGCTGCCTTTGACACCGTCGACCATGAGATCCTCTTACAGAGATTAGAGCGACTGGGTTGAGTCGCTGGCACCGCCCTAAGTTGGTTTAGGTCTTACCTTGAGGACAGGAAGTACTTTGTGGAGATTGGTAACTGTGTCTCAGATCATATGGCCCTGACCCAGTGGAGTCCACAGGGGTCGATCCTGGGGACCTCTTCTGTTCAATCTCACTACATGCTGCCGTTTAGGTCAGTTTTAATACGCAGAAACAAAGTTTCCTATCATAAACTATGGCAGACGACACTCAGATCTATGTCTCACTGACTGCAGGAGAACATGGACCATGGACTCACTCCTTCACTGTATCCAACAGATCAGTGCGTGGATGCAAAACAACTTCCTTCAGCTAAACGCAGACAAAACTGAAATGATTGTCTTTTGGTCCCCAGAAACAAAGAGAGAGCGTCATCTGTCACCTACAGTCTCTCTCCCTAAAAACCTTCAAACAAGGTCAGAAATCTAGGGGTAATACTGGACTCAGACTTAAAATTTTAATAGCCACATCAAATCAGTTAACATCAGCAGCTTTTTACCATCTAAAAAACATTGCCAGGATCAAAAACATAGTGTCTAAAGCAGAACTTGGAGATTCTTATCCATGCATTTGTCTCCAGTATGGTTAGACTACTGCAATGGCCTGCTCACAGGTCTTTTCCAAACAGGCTGTAAACCAGCTGCACGTACATTCAAATGCAGCAGCTCGAGTCCTGACTAGAACCCTGAAGTACACCAATCTTATCCGGTCCCAGGTCTCTGCACTGCTTCCTGTGGCCTCAGAGAATACGACTTTAAAACAGCTCTGCTTTGTACAAAGTCGCTCCATGGCTCGCACTGCAACAGATAACACGCCAAAATAAATAGTTGACATGTTTATCCATATGACCACCCGGACTCTGAGAGAGCACAGGACTGGACTCCAGTTAGTGCCCAGAGTCAGAACAAAACATGGGAGGCTAGCTTTTCAGATTCAAGCTGCGAAAATCTGAACAGTCTTCCTGGAATGTGAGACAGGCCTCCTCCGTCTGACAATGTTAAAAACCAGGTTAAAGACAGTTCTGTTTAGCTGGCATACACACTGAGGGATTTTATGATTGTATCTTTCTATTTACTGTTTCTGTGATTATTTATGCATTTTAATGCTTTCTTGTTTTGTTCTAGACACTTTTGCATTGCTTGTGTATGAATTGTGCCTATATAAATAAACTTGCCTTGCTTGCCTTGCCTTGCCTTGGCCTAATGAATTTTGGTTGCAAGGCCATGGAGAGACTTGTTGACACCACGCATGAAGCTGATTATAAAATCTATTCTCTGAGCCACAGGAAGCCAGTTGCAGCGAACCTGAGGTACCGGACTAATATGGTCATCATTCCCTGGTTCCCTGTCAGGACTCTAGCTGCTGCATTTAGGATGTACTTGCAGCTGCATACAGGTCTGTTTGGACAGACCTGTAATCAGGCCATTTCGCTATAGTCCTAAGCCTGCTGGCAACATGCATGGCCAAGAATCTCCAAGTCTGCTTAAGACCACTCTATTCAACTTTGGCAAGTTCTTCAATGGTACAAAAGCTGTTGATAGTTATTTGAATTTATGAGCTATTGATATTTAGGTCCTGATCCGTAATACCCCAATTTCCTGACCTTGTCTGATGGAAGTAGGGAGAGAGCCTGAAGTTGACAATGAGCCCTCTCTGTTTTCAGGGGACCAAAGACAATGAATTCGGCTCCCTTGATCTGCATTTAGCTGAAGGAAAATTTTTTGCCATCCAGTCACAGAACTGATTGGATACAGTGAAGACAAATCCATGGTCCAAGTTCTCCTGCAGTCATTGAACATAGATCTGATGTCGTCGGCAATTTGTGGTAGGACAACTTTGTATTCTTTGTATTAACTGACATAACGCAGCATGTAGAGATTAAATAGGAGAGGTCCCAGGATCGACCCCTGTGGTACTCCACAGGTCAGGGCCCACATGATCCGAGACGCAGTCTCCAATCTTCCACAAAGTACTTCCTAATCCATCCAGTAAGAACCGTAAACCATCCTAGGGGCTGTGCCCTGATACCAACCCAGTCCTCCAGTCTCTGCAGAGGATCACATTGTCGACAGTGTCGAACGCCGGCACTAAGAAACTAACATGACCAAAACTGTGACTTACCTGCATCAGTGAGAAGTCGAATGTCGTATTGTTCTCCCCCCCCCCATTCACTAGAGCTCTCAGTGCTGTGTGAGGTCTAAACCCAGACTGGAACATAATCAAAAGAATATTCATTGTTACAAAATTCAGTGAAGGAGTTGGGAGGAACCACTTTTTCAAGAATTTTTCCAGAATGGCAGATTCGATAAGGGGCGATAATTTTGAATCCCGCAGATCCAGAATGCTCTTTTTTAGGAGAGGTCCATATACTGCTGTTTTTGGGCCATAGAATGTTCCAGACGACAGAACATGTTTAACTACTTTTGATGTCAGAGAAGTAACAAACGCTCAGGACGACTCAGAAATTTTAGAGGGCAAATATATCCAGGCTACATGTGGAGAGCTAAGACTCATGATTATCTTTTGACAGTATTCAGTATCCACAGTCAAATGAGATTAGAGCTCCAAAAGCTTCTTCTGGCTGTTGCATTGTTATACTGCTGTGAGGTGATAGTGTTTTTGATTCCTTGTACTTTGTCATCGAAAAACTTGCGAAACACATTCACTAGATTTAGAGGAAAATTCCTAGGGGCAACTATACAGGGGGGTTCGTTACATCCTACCAACTGTTGAAACATAACACAAAACAACGAAAAATTGTTAACTGCAACCTCCAATAATGTCAGAAATAATACATTTCTCTTGTTCAAACGTATAACCCGGTTAAATTCACACCCAACTCATACTTTAAAGATTTCATAATCCCCTGGAAATTGGAGGACATTCGCACTTCCGGACGGGTACCCACCAGGCACTCTTGCGTCTGTGCCCTGGACCGAGTCGCCTTAGTCCATGGGCCTTGTTTCCCTACAGTAAACTGTTTTAATAAACGTCACAGGAGCAATGGCGTCCAGAACAGTCAGAACACTGTGGAAGACAGAGTTAAAACAATTCATCAACGTAGACATGAGTTCTCAAATTTACATTCCCATGAACAGGTTCACGATGTTTTCATGAATGTGTCTCTCGCAACAATTGTAAATTCCGCTGGTGGTTTGCTAGCAAAACACATGTCAAAAAATCGCACCGAAATGATCTGACAAAAGCAACATCAACTACATTAACATTTGATACATTACCCCCTTTGTAATTAGCAGGACAAGAGTGTGCCCCCAGCGTGGGTGGGCCATTACGTGCTGAACTGAAACCAAAGGTCTCAAATTTCAGAAGCCAGCTCCATTGCATTCTGACATCAACAAATATCAACATGTTACATTAAAATCACTGTAATAACAAAAACTATCAAAATCTGTGCACGACGAATGAAATAGTTTCAGTAAAATGGTCAAATAAAATCGCAACATGACTGTGTGCCTGTACAGGACTAATGAAAAGAGTAGAAGATTGCTTTTGTTCATTTAAAAGAAATATACTCAACACGGA